CCCCTGCCCCCACCCTCACCCTAAACCCCTGCCCCCTGCCACCCTCCACCCTCCCTCCCCCACCCTCCACCCGCCCCCTGCCCCCCCACCCTCACCCTAACCCCTGCCCCCTGCCCCCTCCCTCACCCTAAACCCCTGCCCCCTGCCCCCCCCTCACCCTAACCCCTGCCCCCTGCCCCCCCCTCACCCTAACCCCTGCCCCCACCCTCACCCTAAACCCCTGCCCCCACCTTCACCCCTCACCCCCTGCCCCCACCCTCACCCCCTGCCCCCTGCCCCCACCCTCACCCTAAAACCCCTGCCCCCTGCCCCCACCCTCACCCTAAACCCCTGCCCCCACCCTCACCCCCTGCCCCCTGCCCCCACCCTCACCCTAAACCCCTGCCCCCTGCCCCCACCCTCACCCTAAACCCCTGCCCCCCACCCTAAACCCCCTGCCCCCTGCCCCCACCCTCACCCTAAACCCCTACCCTCACCCTAAACCCCTGCCCCCTGCCCCCACCCTCACCCTAAACCCCTGCCCCCTGCCCCCACCCTCACCCTCACCCTAAACCCCTGCCCCCACCCTAAACCCCTGCCCCCACCCTCACCCTAACCACGTTGCGACGGACCCCCCTTATAAAAATAGGAAGTCTTTTGTCCAATGCGGTGTGACGTTGGGGGTCATTTGTGGTGTTTATATTCCGGGAGGTAATCTGTCGCGTCTGGGGTTCTGTGTGCTACTGTTGCAGGAGTGTCAAAGGAATTATCCACCATCTCCGGTTGTTCATGACAGAATGCCCAAGGATGTCCGTAACTCTGTATACCCTCTGGGCTTTGTCAAGAGGCAGCCAGTGAATGAATGGCAGATAGGATTAGAAGGAGAGAGAGGGGGTAGGGGGGAGAGAAAGGAGGAGATAGGAGGAGAGCATGTGAGACAGAGAGAGAGAGAGAGAGAGAGAGAGAGAGAGAGAGAGAGAGACAGAGACAGAGACAGAGACAGAGACAGAGACAGAGACAGAGACAGAGACAGAGACAGAGACAGAGACCAGCTTTGCCAGTCCAAGAGTAAGTCTCTCTCCACTCCCACAAGTCCTCTTCAGAGTATTTTTCTCAGAGTGTTTTTCTCCAGCAATACTTTCCTCTGAGCTTAGAGTGAACATATAAAGAGACTAGAAGCCATATAGATATGAATGGAAAGGCTTCTTTTATTGGCCTTGCCCGCTGACTACTAATCTCTACTCTCGCAGACAGTGGAAGACGCTTTCTCACGTTCTCCCAGTTTATAGGCTACAAAATCTTCCTCCCTGACACTCAAGATATTGCAACAGTTTCTCTCCCCCTATTGTGAATGATTTCAACATTTTATTGATATAATTGTTTCGACACCCTGAGTATTTATCTTTACAAGTCAAATCAATCTCAGTTTGGTGATAGAAGCAGAAAGTGTTTTCACAAGGCAGGACCAAAGAACCAACTGTCTTTACTAAATATTCTAAAAAAAATGAAATCCATGTAATCCCAGTTCAAAGAAAAGGACTGACTACAAACTAAAATGGTATGACTGTCTGGATATATATCTCCCCCCAAAATGATTTTACTTCCTAATAAACTAGAAAATCCCCAGGAAAATATCAATGTTTATCGAAGTCAGCTGGCTTACTTATAGGATCCTGCTTTGTGATGCACCCCTCTGATGTCATTCTGTAGCCTACCTAAGTAGTTCTTCCATCCTGCCCTCGTTGCCTCATTGAGTAGGCTCTCAGACACAGACAACTGGAGAGTCTGAGCTGCGGGCTCTGTGGGAGATGTATTAAACACTTTACAGTCTGCTGCCTCCATTGACAGTCATGACAGAGTGTCAGACCTATTGAATTCTATAGTCAAGGCTTAGTTTATCTGCTATGAGGAATGTGTTAAAAGATCTCCATCCCACTTTGAATTTCCTCTGACTGAATAGATGGTCACAGCAAGTGTGCTCTCCCAACTGCAGAAATATAAACACTCACATGCATGCACCCAGGCACTCACACACACACGTGACTGAACACACACACACACACACACACACACACACACACACACACACACACACCGCTGACAAGTGTTACATCAGGTTTCAGGCTCAATAAGATCGTTTTTTAGCAACAAGAGACAACGTCCCTCTTCAAACCTTCCATATTTACTACACAACTTCATGTGTGCTGTCACTTAAAACATTTTTAACCATCTATCTGGAGACCAGCGATGAAAATGTACCTTTTGGCTACGTAGATCTGACAAATGAACAGAAAAATTTATTAATGTGCATTGTGCTATGAAATATAAATACATCATGATAAAGTAAAAGAGTAACAAAACTATTGCATCATTGTACAGGACACTGTCTCTGTCAAAATAGAATACAAAAATGAAGTATAACAAAACTCCTCTTTCCTCATCTTAAGAATGAATGTGTACTTCCCTGTCAAATTAATAATATAAACCAAAATGAAAGAGTAGACCGAAACCCTTGCCTCAGCCACCACCTTCGCTCCTCCATGGAAGGTTTATTCTAGCAGCATTACCATACGGACCGAGACGAGGGCTCAGTGAGTGAAAGGGCCTTGGTTGAGGCTGTCTGTAACAGGATTATGGGGATATTATGGTGAGGAGGAGTGGCTCCCGGTGTAACTGGCTGTGATGTGAATAGGATTTCTGTGTGTCTGGTCTAATCAGGGCCGAGGCTGGGGGAGGGCTACTCTCCTCTCCCCTCCTCTAGCCCAGATAATCCTTTACTGTTCTCTTCTCTCCACACTGGCCGACCGGTCGACCTTCAGCATACTTCATCTGCAGCCACACACACACACACTGCTGCTACGACTGAGCTTCTCACTCTCTCTGTCTCACACACACACACACACAAACTCACACAGCAAGGGATATAGAGAAGAGAGAGAGAGAGAGAGAGAGAGAGAGAGAGAGAGAGAGAGAGAGAGAGAGAGAGAGAGAGCAGAGAGAGAGATGAGAGAGAGGAGAGAGAAGGAAGAGAGAGAGACGAGAGTACGAGAGAGAGAGAGAGAGAGAGAGAGCAGCCATCAAGAATAGGGGTTCCAACTTTTTATTGAGGCCTGGTGACATGAAGAACCTACTGAGGACTTGGTAAAGCCCTGTCTAGGGCCCCTTTTATTGCAGCTGGGACAAAGACACTTGGTAAGACCACTTACTTTTTCACTCCCTGTCTCCCTGTCAATAGCAGTGTGTTTTCATTCAAGTAAATTAGTTGTTTCCTATGAAAATTCCCATTTTGGCATGTCCAGCATTAAGATGTTAACCCACTTTATTTAACCTCTTGACATGGGAAAACATGTTTGTTATGAAGTTCAACATGTGCTCTTTATGACAGAATGTTAAAATGAGGTGAAATGAATAGTTATCTTTGACAGAATTACACTACCCTAAAGGCAGTCTATTCAAGGAATGATGACCCATGTGTGTTTGGTGTTAGCTTGGCTGTGCCGACAGTAGCAGCTTATGTATTGGTGTATAGGTGTATTGGTGTATAGGTGTATTGGTGTATAGGTGTATTGGTGTATTGGTGTATAGGTGTATTGGTGTATAGGTGTATTGGTGTATAGGTGTATTGGTGTATTGGTGTATAGGTTTATTGGTGTATTGGTGTATTGGTGTATTGGTGTATAGGTGTATTGGTGTATAGGTGTATTGGTGTATTGGTGTATAGGTGTATTGGTGTATAGGTGTATTGGTGTATAGGTTTATTGGTGTATTGGTGTATTGGTTTATTGGTGTATTGGTGTATAGGTGTATTGGTGCTAGTGTTTTGGTAATTCAGTTAAATTGTTTGTGGTACTGAACCTGTGGGCTATACTTTCTCTGCAAGAAGGCTTTGGTAGTGAAAGGAGATGTACTCAACTTAAAAAAAAAAAAAAAAAAAAATCATTGAAATTAGCAGATATGTAGTCAATTAAATTGAACATTTGTTTTATGTTTTGTATTAATCATTGGATTATTAGGCTTTAAAGCTAGAATCTGCAGTAAAAAAAAAAAAAGAAGAAACGGACACCCCGCCTTTGTTTTGGTAAAAAACTGAGGGATGGGGCTGGAGAAATGTAACCACTATCAAATTCATAGACAGAGGTATGGATGCAGGGACTGGCCATCCATGGTATTACAATGATAGTTTTAACCATGTTTAAAGCTGTGTTTACATTTACTTTGTTTACAAACATTGGAGTAAAACAAGCTTATATTTTGGGTTCTGATGAGGTACAACAGTTGAACTAAGCTCATGAAGCATTTATAAGTTATATTCATCAAGAATAAATAGGTATTCTTAATTAATAAATCCACAAATGTATGTAGCAACTAAAGATTCTAGCTTTAAGTTTTAGGTATTAAGGTTTGATTGGTGTCAGCATGTTTCCCTACCATCAAGCACTAGGTGCAGTTAAGATTAAATAACTAATTCATCTTTTATATTTTACATGGTAGTAACTAGATTACATTAACAGTTGCTCTTATACAGAATGACTTCCAATCAAATAAGGGACCAGTTGCCCTTAATAGAAAGGATGTGTTATTTTGGGTTGTGATTAATCTCTCTTCTCACAGCCGCTGTAGCGTGCAGAGCAACCTCAGTCTGTCTAGAGACTCGGATTGACTATACACTCTACTGAACATAGACCTTTCACATTTCTTCCATAATAGGCTTATGTATTGGTGTAAATGGCTAGAGGTCATTGGTAGTGGCTATGTCAAAGCTATTTACTGTGTATGGAAGTGTATTCCTGCCATAATTGAATTCAAATTGGACATTTATTTTGCCATAATCAGCTTCACAGTCAAATAGTTGGATCGTCAACTGCTGGATTTAGCCACATGGCTTGCTTCATTGTTTTGAACTGATTCACCTGCCAACGAATACCATTGCAAGATATATGATTACAGTGTACACTGATATTATTTGATGCTAATATATTATTGTCCAAACGTGTAGCAGAACCCCACACCAATCTGATTGAATGGCCCCCTATGTAGCAGCCATGACCTCGGATCAGCTCCTGGGCCCGCAGATATGCAGTCCTATAGGGGAAGTGAAGGTCTTGCCTGAGGAGGGACGAGGGGAGAAGTCTGCCCCCTGCCCCCAGGAAGTGATGGACTGCTATGGCCACGCCCCCTCAATGACTCACAGCCCCAGCACCGACAGGTGGGTCAGGACACGAACAGACACACACAACACACACACATACAGAAACACACACATAGGGATGCAAGGGAGAGAGAGTGAAACACAGGGAAAGAGAGAGGGAGAGAACACATGGAACATGGGGGGGGGGGGGGGGGGGGGAAGAAGAAGAAGAAACCTGTAAAAATGTTTTACAGCCGTGATAAGTGGGATTCAAATTATGTACAATAACATCCATTGACTCGCTCTTATGTCCTCCTTGTCTGTGTCCCAAATGTCACCTTATTCCCTATACAGTGCACTACTTTTGACCAGAGCCCTATGGTGCAGTATAAAGGGAATAGTGTGCCATTTGGGACTAACCCCTTGACTCTCCATTTTGCAGTGGTGTAAAGTACTTAAGTAAAAATACTTTAAAGTACTACTTAAGTTGTTTTTTGGGGTATCTGTACTTTACTTTACTATTTATATTTTTGACAACATTTACTTTTACTTCACTACATTCCAAAAGAAAATAATTTACTTTTTACTCCATACATTTTCCCTGACACCCAAAAATACTAGTTACATTTTGAATACTTAGCAGGACAGGAAAATGGTCCAATTCACACAGTTATCAAGAGAACCTCCCTGGTCATCCCTACTGCCTCTGATCTGGCGGACTCACTAAACACACATGCTTCGTTTGTAAATTAAGTCTGAGAGTTGGAGTGTGCCCCTGGCTATCCGTTTTTTTTAAAAGAAAAAGAAAATGGTGCCGTCTGGTTTGCTTAATATAAGGAATCTGAAATGATTTGTACTTTTACTTTTGATACTGAAGTATATTTAAGCAATTACATTTACTTTTGATACTTAAGTATATTTAAAACCAAATACTTTTAGACTTTTACTCAAGTAGTATTTTACTGGATGACTTTCACTTTTACTTGAGTCATTTTCTATTAAGGTATCTTTACATTTACTCCAGTATGACAATTGGATACTTTTTCCACCACTGCCATTTTGCCCTGTGTTGACTTTGTCTCTCTGTTGTCCTGCAGTCTGAGCAGGGAGGAGCCATTCTGTCGTATCTGCCACGAGGGAGGCGGTGTCGGGGAGCTGCTCTCCCCCTGTGAGTGTGCAGGGTCGCTGGCCATGGTCCACCGGGGCTGCCTGGAACACTGGCTCACTGCCTCCAACAGCAGCCGCTGTGAACTCTGCCACCACCAGTACTCCCTGGAGAGACTGCCCAAGCCACTCACTGAGGTAGGGGAGAAAGTGTAGGGTGAAATTACCCCTAAATGCTGAACTTGGGTCAGTTTAGCATTTTACCCACTGTTGGTTAAGGTGAGGATTAAGGGAGGGGAAGCTGATCCTAGATCTGTACTTCAGGGAAATTTTACTCTGGCGTTAGGGGAGGCGGAGACATATGCAAGCAAACACACAAGCTCAAGCACACATACACTTGCAAACAGACACTCATAAGCAAACACACAAGAGAAAGGGTGCACACACGAGAGGCTGGTGGGAGGAGCTATAGTAGGATGGGCTCATTGTAATTAATGGCTTTATGATTAGTCTTTATAATGAGCGCGTCCTCCTATAGCGCTTCCACCAGCCTCCTCTGGCACACACACAGTGCAAGCAAATGCAGGCACACACTCACACACACAAACACTCACACACACACACACACAAACACTCACACGAACGCACATAAATGTGGACTCATACTGCATCCTCAAAAACAAAATGATTATTATTTGTGACTACAGTAAACTACAGTGAAATAGACTACATAAAAAATTGACTACCTAAAAAACTACAAAATAGACTTCATAAAAACTAAAACTACAGTAAAATAGTTCTCATATACATCAACTATACTATGCAGTCTTAATTTATCAGGGTTGAGGTCACTTTCAATTCACTTCCTGAATTGACTCAATTGAAATGGAATTAACCCCAACCCCCATGTCACTTAATTTCAAACCCATTAAGGAATATACAAACTGCTGTCTCAAAGATGGAATCTTCATAGAAGAGAAGAAAACAAACATTATTCAGGTTGCAGATAGAGATATAGTGTATAGAACTGCAATTACTCCCTATTCTACAGTCCACATAACCCTATCTATTCTACTCAACACATTTCTATCTGACCATTGTGTAACAATTCACCCTCCTGAATAGAGCCCCTAGCCGGATTCACATTGGAGTGTATGATGTCACTGACTGCTTTTACTCATAAAGCCACTTAGCCTGAGAAGCAGATTAGATGGTGTTTCCTGTCAGTAGCTGTAGCTGCTCCATAGAGTTGGATAGAGGGTGCACGTGGCCCAAACATTGTTTTAGCATGGGCACAGCGATATCAAGAGCTTTCTTCATTTTGAAGTAGTCAACTGGGTGGGACTTGCAATGGCTTAAGGAAGGATCCCAGAATTATATCCAGGTTGGCAGAAGGGGTCAGCCAATGAATTATATTCCTGAGCAAACATCCCATAATGGCAGGTGGCAGTACATCACCAACCATGGCTTTATACCTCCAGACTATACACACTCCAGCACATTAGGTGGTGCTATGCACCTTTTCAGTTAATTTAGAAACGGACAATTCACTCTTAGATGTAGAGGAAGAGGCGATTGTCTACTTTAAAATGGAGACAGCATAGCCCTCAATGGCACTGCCCATGCTGACACAGAAGCAGCCATTGCAAAGATATTAGCTTTCTAATGCATCTCTATGAGATTCCTCAGGACATTACGTCGTCTTGTATTAATGGTCTCCTCCCAGCCTATCGCATGTGTGGTGGCCACTGGCACCGGGTAATCAGCTGATTAAGAACCATGTGTTGTATGCAGGGAGCTAAAGTACGAGGGACAACACACACACACACACACACACACACACACACACACACACACACACACACACACACAGGGAGTAGGAGAGAAAACAACAGATCAGCTGACAGATGAATGGAGATATGGCCTGGATCATCACCAAAGGGTTCAATATTCAGTGGTCAACAATTTAAAGTCTCAAATTCTGAAGAAAACTGTTGTGATTTTTGATACTCATCCAAAAGCCCAAATCTGACGCCATCTAATGTAGATACTGTACTTTTACATAACAGTGATTTAGATTGTTCTGTTGTCTGGTCTACCCACTCTAACTTTACGTTCCCTGGCCAGTGAATGGCACATATGAAACCATGCAATGCTTAATGTCAATTTGAATTGAATTGATATTACCATCATTCTATCCATTCTAATTACAGTACATCCCCCACCTCCCCCGTCTCCTCTCTCCCTCCCTTTCTCAGTGGCTGGGCTCGCCAGCCATGCAGCACCAGAGACGGACGCTGTGTGGTGACGTCATCTGCTTCCTGTTCATCACGCCGTTGGCCAGCCTATCAGGATGGCTGTGTGTGCAGGGCGCCATGGACTTGTATTACAGTAACAGTATGGAGGCTGTTGGACTCATGGTGCTCACCCTGGCTCTCTTCACCATCTACTGCTTCTGGACTGTGGTGAGTTGTTGGGGCTATTGTGGGTTGGGGTTACATTGGGATTGTGTATAGCAGTGGAGGCTGGTGGGAGGAGCTATAGGAGGACAGGCTGGAATGGAATGAATGGAACGGTATCAAACACATCAAACATCTGGAAACCACATGCTTGACTCCGTTCCATTAATTCCATTCCAGCCATTACAATGAGCCCGTCCTCCTATAGCTGCTCCCACCAGCCTCCACTGGTGTATAGTGTAGTGGTGGAACCATATAAATAGAATGACTAATAATACTATAATTATTAAAGGGATAGTGCAAAAAAATTTATACTTCCCCAGAGTCAGATGAACTCATGGATACCATTTTTAAGTCTCTGTGGCCAGTATAAAGAAAGTTAGAGGTAGTTTCACCAATGCTAACTAGCGTTAGCGCAATGACTGAAAGTCTATGGGATCAGGTAGCTGATTGCCCTAACGCTAGCTGATCCCATAGACTTCCCGTCATTACTATCCATCAGAGATGATAGAGAAAGTGAAACATCCAACAGGCTCATTTTATTCTGGGTGGGCGAGGTAAATAAGTAGACTAGAGCCGGCTGTTGTTGGGCAGTTTCCCATAAAAAACATTTTTCAAGGTTCCTGTATGTGTAAGTGAACGTTCCCTTACCTGTGTACGCTCACGCGGAAAGCATGCTCAAGCGAGAGGGGAAACGGCCACTTACACAGACAGGAACCAATGATTAACGGCCTTTTTGCGACATCTTCACTATCCACCATCTTTGCTGTCCATTTTCTTCAGTTTGGTGCCTAATCAGCATGGCCCTGGTTGGGGAAGTAAACAAACACAGCTTGTATAAGTGAAGTCACCTGTGTTATAATTAAAGGGGAAGTTACGTATTTTACAACTTAATGTTAGCTGGTTCCTCACCCTGAAGGTAGTCTATGCACCAGGAGAGATTGTAATCCATGGTTCTGTTTTCTGTAAACAGCCACTACAAACTTCAGCTGACTTAAAGGGAAATTTCCCCATTTTCCATCGTCATATTCATCATCTCCAGCACCACCCCTACATCAACACATGTGAAAATGGTGTGTTTCTATGTTTTGTAGTAAAAAAGATAGAGGAAGATAAGCATTTCCAAAGACATCATCGGTGTGCGTCCTGTGATTTTAACCAATTATGAGTAGGCATTGCCTACTAATTGTCTACCAATTGGTTGATGTCATTGGAAACTCTTATCTTCCTCAATCTTTTTTAATGCAAAACATAGAAATGCGCCATTTTCACATATGTTGATGTTTGGGGTGGTGCTGGAGTGAATATGAAGTTGAACATTTTAGAAATGTCCCTTTAAGCCACTGTCTGGTAAAAATCAACTCCTCTCTTCCACCACCAGGTGTCACTGCGCTATCACATCCACCTGTTCAGGACGTGGAAACAGACAGACCAGAGAGTAAGGCTACAAATCCCCCGACCGGCACGGACCATGCACACACACCACACACTGAACCTCAGCTTCCTTAGCAAGGACACCAGAAAGGAGACTGTGGTGTAGCTGGAGTGGAACTGGGGGTAGTGTCCACGATTCCTTGGCAAGAAAACTGTGATGTAGCCGGAATGGAACTGGGCCTAGTGTCACATTTCCTCCAGGCCCCCAGTGTCCGGTCCGGAGCGTGAAGTCACAAACTCTGCTGGTCGGCTACTAAGTAGCAACTTAGTGGTGCCAAAAGCTCTGGTATGCCCTAAAAATCCTATGTCAATTACGATCGACCAGAACGGCCAAACATATATATTTTTTACGCCCGTTTTGGACTCCAAAATGTGTTTACTATGATCAAGTTCGATCCCAATGGTGAATTATTTTAAAGTTCGCTACAAATCGAGAAATGTAATTAAATAGTGATCCATTCTGAATACTACATTTGTCGTCACACAGGATCACGTGCTGACACAGACCAATTAGGAGCTGGCAGGCTACGAGCAGGCTCTCTCAGGCAGGATGAAAACGACTACATCGACCATGATCCTTTGCTAGTTACAGCCACTTTCACCATGATCCTTAGTGATTCTTTGGTGCCATTCAGCAATATGGCGCGCTTCAAATTCAAATACTTCCGGCTTCATGCGCCATTGGAGGTTTTTCATAGGAATACGTGGATGACGTCAGCGCTATCACTATCTATTGGTTTTAATGTCTATGGTTTCCTGGGCAAGGACACTGTGGTGTAGTTGGAGTGGGACTCGTCCCAGTATCCACTGTATGCTTCTTCAGCAAGGAGACAATGACATGAGCAAGGAGATTGTGGTGTAGCTGGATTGAAACCAGGCCAGATCTCCCTAAGGATACAGTGTTATTGCTATAATGGGACTGGGCCCAGTCCTCATGCTGCTTCAGAAAGGATACAATGTTAATTTCTCTTAGAAACAGGCCCCGTCTCTACAGTTTTTTTAACAAAGACTTGGATGAAGAAGACCAAGGAACCTTCAGAGGACCTAACCTTTCTCTGTGAAGAACACTTTTTATATATTTATAGATCTTTTGGAGTCTTACTCAGTGAACTTAACTATTTTTCTTTTACTGTATTGTAAAAGAGTGATGAGATTAATGACAATTAAATGGATGTCCACTCCCAACTTATGTAGGGCCCAGAGTTTTTCCCCAACCTTATTCCCTATGGAAAAAAAACTCTTGGATCCTTGTTATGCGAGTCTAGAATGACTAGTTAGCGTTCACTATACCAGCTTTGCTACACCTGCAAAGAACAACCTTAGTTAGACTTGCAATATTTAATGATCTTAAAAGGACATTTCACTCAAACAAACGTTTGTTAGACATTTTCAGTTATATTCCTCATTCCCAAATGAAATGGAAAAGATTAACACTGTATAATTTTGTGGTTTTCGTCTGTGCTTCTAAACAACCAATGTTGTGGGACGTGGCTTCATTTTTTACATTAGACTACTTTGAGGTTTGAAAACATCTGACAAACTTTGATTTGAAAGTGTAATGTCTCTTTAACAGTGACAATCTTGAAAACAATCTTTCATGAGGACCACAAAGTCAGAAATGTTGCTTTGACGATCGGTGGTGTTGCTATGTCGTTATTTGTACAAATCTTTAGTACCACTTTACACAAAGTTGCTGTCACTAGAAACACTGTGGCTAATTACTGTTGTAATATCACTACTAGAGTAACTTCAGCGTTATTAGATAGGTATAAGAGAACAATTTTATGTAAAGAGTTATCCATTGTTTTTCCAGGCACAGGCTATACCAAACTACACCAACAATAAACCAAACACTTACATTAGTTAAGGAAAAATCTTTATTGAAATCATAACTAAGTATTTTGGTGCAAAAGGAATCCATATATATGGAAGACACTGACAAGCCAACATCTGAGTTTCTTCACAAGACAATCAGACGTTTAGAGGATGTTAAAGTTAGTTGTTTTCTAAATAGAAAGAACAAGTTTCAGAAAATAAAAAGAGAAACAATATTGCAAAGCCACCAAAGTACCTGTCAAACATGGGAAAACAATACTGCCCATATCCTTCAGAATTAACATGAAATATTTCCACATTGTACTATGGATATATTCAGTTTATAATTCCTCTTGGCTCAATGGCAAAAAGTGCTGCAGGTTAAAGGGTAAAAATACCAGAAAACATTCATCTTACAGTTAGTTATTGCACTAACATACTATATTACCATACAAGATTGACATGTCATTTTCCCAACCGGGATTTTAAACGTAGTCAGGACACAAGGCATATTCATACTGTATGACAAATGAAACATATTTTCTTTAAAACTTTTTGACAATGACAAATTGAATGTCGCATTTAAAGACCGTAAGGGGCATATGAATGTCGCTCACAGCAAGCGAGAGGAGACGCATTATGAACGCCAGAATAGCAGGACAAATGCCATGTCGCTGCTTAAAGAATACAAGCCTGGTCCCAGATCGGTTTGTGCTGTTTAGAGTTGACTAGACAGCACAAACAGATCTGCAATTTTAAAGGGCTATCCATTATTTTTTCGAGGTACAGGCAACTATTCAATCAACCAAACACTTGCATTAGTTTAGGAAAAACCTGCATTGAAATCACACACGTTTATGTAGCAGTGCTCCCAAATCACCATCAAGCTCACACAGGATCCCTAAATAATACCAACTGTGACACGGCCAGTCTGTCACGACACCCACTTCCCTGTGCAGTGCCCTACCTGTAACACACTATATAGGGAATAGGTTGTCATTGTAGCCTTTCCAGTGGTATTCCCGGGAATTCCCGGGTCGGATGCAGCATTCCCAGGTCAGAATTGTGAAAGGAGGAGGGGTTGAGGAGCTACATAACGGAGCAACTCTCGTTTGTTCCCACCGGAACCTGGAAAACATAGAACATCACTTAGCCTCACAATGTCAGCGAAGAAATACACGGGCGCACAAGCTCAGCCTCGACACGTCTCGTGCACACACACAAACAATTAGTACAGCAATGATCACTCTCACACACCTCACACAGGCAATTAGACTCCTAACGTGTGCACGTGAGAGTTGGCCAGCACACAGCCAGAATGGTTCATGCACGGGTGAGGAACACACGGCAAGCTGAGCAAGCTATGGCATCACAAGGGAGGAACAGCAGCCATTTGCAGTGAGGGAAGTGTTGCAGGCCACTTCATTTTGAATGCACCCTAGGTCGCACTTAAGCCCACAGGCTATGTTCAAAAGTAGTGCTTTAAGAGCCATTTTGATATTATTTTACCCCCTTTTTCGTGAAATCCAATTACGATCGTCTCATCACTGCAACTCCCCAACGGGCTCGGGAGAGGCGAAGGTCAAGTAATGCGTCCACCGAAACCGCGCTTCTTAACACCCGCCCGCTTAACCCGGAAGCCAGCTGCACCAATGTGTTGGAGGAAACACTGTTCAACTGACGACCGGAGTCAGCCTGCAGGCGCCCGGCCCGCCACAAGGAGTCGCTAGAGCGAGATGAGCCAAGTAAAGACCCCCGGCCAAACCCTCCCCTAACCCGGACGACGCTGGACCAATTGTGCGCCGCCCTATGGGACTCCCGGTCATGGCCGGTTTTGACACAGCCTGGGATCGAACGCGGGTCTGTAGTGACGCCTCAAGCACTGCGATGCAGTGCCTTAGACCGCTGCGCCACTCGGGAGGCCTACACCATTTTGATATTAAAAGAACATATTTAAATTATTATGGATTATGTATTAGAAACAGTGTATGAAATGCATAGACAATATTATTTTGAGAAGGAAACCCCTTGTTATTTTGTTTATTGTGGCACCTTATTTACAGTTTCACCACTTAAAATCAGCATGGCAATATGGCGCCAATCAGTAATTGGAACAGGGTGATCAACGCCAAGCAGAGATAAAGTTTTCATCCATGTCGTTTTGGATCTTATCATTTCATTTACCATTTTTATCAGATCATTTTAGTGCAATTTTTGTATCAGTTTGCCATCAGCAGCAGCTTTGGAATCTGTTCAAAATACCTGGAATACAATGAATGCCTTCATTACCCAATCCTGGAACTGTGTGACAAAGAGCCAGCCCTTGTGTGTAATACATTTGTGAATATCATTGCAATCAAGAACTCTCAAATTAATTTATTGGATTTCTGGATAAATGGGAAACGAGTTGGAACCTACAGTACCTGCATTTTGGTGTCTAACAGAAATGGCTATTTAGAATGTTGGACCCCACAAAAGCCATTACAAGTGCACTATATAGGGAATAGGGTGCCATTTGGGACTTACACATGTTAGGTTATGGAGCGTTAACAAGAGCTGTAGTAGGGATTAGACAAGCAGGGGCTTCGACCCAAATGGCACCCTATTCTTTATAGTGCACTATATAGGGAATAGGGTGCGATTTGGGACACATCCAGGGAGTCAACAGCCATGCTGTAGGCAGTCACCTCCTCACCTCCAGCGGTATGTCTGTCATGAGACAGGCTGTTCACAACACCAGACAGCACTTCCTTTTCTTTCTCTTGGGCTTTTCCATCAGGGGGAATGGAGATCAAAAGCACAGTAATGATCAGTTTCCCCTGGGTACAGACCTGGGTACAGACCTACAGTGCCTTCGGAAAGTATTCAGACCCTTTGACTTTTCCACATTTTGTTTTGTTACAGCCTTATTCTAAAATGGATTAAATAAAACAAATCCTCAGCATTTCTGCAGCATTGAAGGTCCCCAAGAACACAGTGGCCTCCATCATTCATAAATGGAAGACGTTTGGAACCACCAAGACTCTTCCTAGAGCTGGCCGCCCGGCCAAACTGAGCAATCGGGGGAGAAGGGCCTTGGTCAGGGAGGTGACCAAGAACCCGATGGTCACTCAGACTGGGGCAAAGGTTCACCTTCCAACAGAACACTGACCCTAAGCACACAGCCAAGACAACGCAGGAGTGGCTTCGGGACAAGTCTCTGAATGTCCTTGAGTGGCCCAGCCAGTGCCCGGACTTGAACCCGATCTAACATCTCTGGAGAGACCTGAAAATAGTTGTGCAGCAACGCTCCCCGTCCAACCTGACAGAGCTTGAGAGGATCTGCAGAGAAGAATGGGAGAAACTTCCCAAATACAGGTGTGCCAAGCTTGTAGCGTCATACCCAAGAAGACTTGATGCTGTAATTGCTGCCAAAGGTGCTTTAACAAAGTATTGAGTAAAGGGTCTGAATACTTACGTAAAGGTGATTTTTCAGTTTTATATTTGTAATTAATTAGCAAAAATGTATTTAAAACCTGTTTTAGCTTTATCATTATGGGGTATTGTGTGTAGAGTGATGAGGGGAAAAAAACTATTTAATCCATTTTAGAATAAGGATGTAACGTAACAAAATCTGGGAAAAGTCAAGGGGTATGAGAATACCTTCCGAAGGCACTGTAGGTACAGACCTGGGTTCAGCATTTACCTGTCTGCTGAGGAGACTGTGCTCGTCTTTGAGAGCAGGGTTTTTGTATGTGTGTTTAGCGGTTTTCTGAGGCGTGTGTCTATGTATGTGTGTGTGTGTGTGTGTGTGGATAGATCAGTGTGCATTTACACGTCTCCTGGGGTGAGTGTGTGTGTGTTTACCTGTCTCCTGAGGTAGTGAACATCACTCCCTTCCATAAACTCTTCATCAACCTCCACATCAGAGTCTTCCTCTCCTCTCTCCTGCACACGCAGCTCTGCGGTCTCCTAGTGATGATGACAGCACACGACAGCCAATCAACATCAAACACATCCGCTCACAGCTAAGCAGCTTGGAGTAGGGTGAAGTTTCCCCCTAGATGTTGATTTTGGGTCAGTTCTACATTTCCCCTACTAATGGTTAAGGTTTAAACTGGTGGAGGGGAAGCTGATCCTAGATCTGAACCTAGAAGAAACTTCACCCTGATGCAAATTCCTTATACCAATGGTTGCATTCCAGATCATCTTATTTGCAGGATGCTTAATCATATTAGTGGTTCGTGAGACACAAAACACTTCTCCAGGTCTTGTGAGATCAGGGGCTGTACATATCAAGTGTCTCAGTGTAGGAGTTCTGATCTAGGATCAGGTCCCCCCTGTCCATGTAATCTTATTCATAGTGATGTAAAAGGCTGAGAGGCTTGATACATATGGCCCCAGATCCATCTACGCAGCACAGCTGCAATGAAGACAACCTGAAATGCAACAGACATCTCGGCGAGCTTAGGAGCTTCAAGATCTTTGCAAGATGGCCATTAGAGAAGTGCACAAGGATAGAAATCAAATGAACTAGATTTCCCCTGGTGCACAAAGATATAGAAATTAAGTAGATTGGGTGATGGTGGCCAGTAGATTGGGTGATGGTGGCCAGTAGATTGGGTGATGGTGGCCAGTAGATTGGGTGATGGTGGCCAGTAGATTGGGTGATGGTGGCCAGTAGATTGGGTGATGGTGGCCAGTCAGTAGAGGTCAGTAGTGGTCACCTCTTCATCTGGGTTCAGTAGGGTGACGATCACGTTATTGACCGGACCCCAGTTCCTCTGGTTCTTCATGACCAGGTCACCTGGAGAGGCCTCTGCGCCTGCCTCCGAACCCCAGATCTGACACACACAATCACAGTCACACACTGTCAGCAATGCATGTTTTTAAATGTTATTTTACTTTTACTAATAATTTTTGGAGATGAGGACTATTGGGTATGGAGGCCTGGTTAGAGTAAACACATGTCCGTTTTCCCCAATACGTGCATGTGTGTGTGTGTGTGTGTGTGTGTGTGTGTTAGGTGCATGTGTCTACTCACAGTAAGCGTGTTGCCCCCAGCCAGTATGTAGGAAAGTGGGATCTGGAAGAAGAGTTCAGGAGAGTCGAGGTGACTCCTTCTCACCACCCAGCCCCCTAGTGGCTGCTCCTGGAACAGCAGAGAAAAACAGCAGGGTCGTATTCACTAGGCACCAAACGGACTACCTGAACATGTCCAATAAGGACTGCTCGTTCTGGTTTTCTGTTGCAAAACGTTTTACAACGGCGAGCCCTAATTAATACGACCCATGTAGAATTCAGATTGGGGACAGCGGCATGTTCAGTAGGGCATACTGGAGCAAAATGTTTTGCAACGGAAAACAATGGTCTGTTTTAATTGGACAAGTTCAAGTAGCACCTCCCTGTTTAAAAACGTGTCGCCCTACTGAACACAACCTAGATCATTCACACAGTTTCAGAGACGGGGATCGTTGTCAGGATACATTTGCATTGCAATGAAACAAACGGCAGGTTTGTAAACACCAAACACAGGACTTAAAGAGACTAAGGCTCTCAATGACACCCTATCCCTTATCTAGTACACTACCTGTTAACCAGTGCCCTGGGTGACTGACTAAAAGTAGTGCACTAAGTAGAGACGTAGGGCATCAGATTTGCTCAAACACTGTCTGATTCGTCAAAGCGAGGCGGTAGGTACTTAAAGATTGAATCCTTAAAATGGTCAAACTGCCACGTCTGTTTGTGATATTACAAAAACAAAGTTACAAACAACCAACACTGTATTTTCCATCTCAGACATCATTGCACACGCGATAGAAGAGCACAAGATGTACTGCCATTTTGTTTTATCATGCTGCGTGACGCTCCTCAGCTCAGCAACAAACAATAACAATGGTGGTGGGGAGCTGTTTCCCCCTACTGCGGATTCCATCTTTAATTGGTCAGAGCGGGCGGTAGGTACTCGGACTCTCCTAATTGATCAGAGCGAGGTGGTAGGTAGGTACCTTCTCAGAGTTGTTCTTCAGCGTGACGTAGTTCCCCTTCAGGTCTATCTCCGACACCATCACGTGACTGTGTGCCTTGGCGTGCTGCGTGACCTTGTAGGCCGGCGAGGACCCCGTACCACCTTCGTTCTTGCGTTTCTTCCCGCGGACAACACGGCGGGCACCGTGTGCATGCGTGCGTGCCACAGCCCCATGCTGGGAGGGGCTCGGGGAGAGGTGGAGTCTGGAAACATAGAAACACGTCAGAAAGATGTTTGGGAAACCCGAGTTTAGTTGACGTATTGCCCTTCTCTATGTTTTATCTACTGTGGTCCATCTTTGCTGACATCTAGTGGATTGTTTTATGTTAAACTCCTTGTTCTCACTAAATGCACCCGCTCCTATTCAAGACCAGGACTACTTTGTCTTCTCTAATACTTGTAACATTAATATACATTTTGATAATATATCTATTTCACAATTTTGAATGTATATTGCCTACTGCCATTTACTGTTTACTATGTGGTGTCCACCAATGACTATTCAGTAACCACTCTTCAATCAGGGTTCACTGGAAGTTGGTTTGTTCAAAATAAACTGGTTATCATTGTTACTCTGTGATAAAGGCCAGAGTTAAAGTTTTTGTTCTAGTGAACATTCTATAACAATAAAGGCATTTTAACTAATTATATGAGTTTTGTATGTTTGGGGAAAGGACCTTGTAACCTTGTGTGTGTGTGTGTACGTGCTTGCATACTGAATCCTCACTAATATGTATTTATTTCCCCTCACCTCACCTCCTCTCCCTCCAGTCTCTCTATTTTCCCTCACCTCCTCTCCCTCCAGTCTCTCCATTTCCCCCTCACCTCCTCTCCCTCCAGTCTCTCTATTTTCCCTCACCTCCTCTCCCTCCAGTCTCTCTATTTTCCCTCACCTCCTCTCCCTCCAGTCTCTCCAATTTCCTTCACCTCCTCTCCTCCAGTCTTCTATTCCTTCCCCCTCACCTATTCCCTCCAGTCTCTCCATTCCCTCCACCTCTCCCTCCAGTCTTCCATATATCCCCCTCACTCCAGTCCCTTCATTTCCCCTTCAACCTCCCTCACTCCACCTCCATCTCTATTTCCCTCACCTCCTCCCTCCAGTCTCTCATTTTCCCTCACCTCCTCTCCCTCCAGTCTTTCCATTTCCCAACTCCCACCATCCATCTCTCCATTTCCCTTCACCATCCTCTCCCTCCAGTCTCACCATCTATTTCCCCCTCACCCTCCTCTCCTCCCAGTCTCTCTATTTCCCCTCACTACTCCTCTCCTCCAGTCCTCTATTTCCCCCTCACCATCCCCACTCTCCCTCCAGTCTTCATTTCCCACCTCACCTCTCAGTCTCTCCATTTTTCCCCCTTACACCTCCTCTCCCACAGTCTCTCCATTTCCCCCCACCTCCTCTCCCTCCAGTCTCTCTATTTCCCCCTCACCTCCTCTCCCTCCAGTCTCTCCATTTCCCCTCACCTCTCCCTCCAGTCTTTCCATTTCCCCCTCACCTCCAGTCTCTCCATTTCCCCTTCACCTCCTCTCCCTCCAGTCTCTCCATTTTCCCCCCTCACCTCCTCTCCCTCCAGTCTCTCTTTTTCCCCTCACCTCCTCTCCCTCCAGTCTCTCCATTTCCCCCTCACCTCCTCTCCCTCCAGTCTCTCTATTTTCCCTCACCTCCTCTCCCTCCAGTCTTCCATTTCCCCCTCACCTCCAGTTCTCTATTTCCCTCACCTCCTCTCCCTCCAGTCTCCATTTCCCCCTCACCTCTCTCCCTCCAGTTCCTTCCATATTCCCCCTCACCCTCCTCTCCCTCCAGTCTCTCCATTTCCCCTCACCTCCTCCCCTCCAGTCTCATTTCCCTCACCTCCTCTCCTCCTCTCCATTTCCCCTCACCTCCAGTCTCTCCATTTCCCCTTCACCTCCTCTCCCTTCAGTCTCTCTATTTTCCCTCACCTCCTCTCCCTCCAGTCTCTCTATTTCCCCCTCACCTCCTTTCCCTCCAGTCTCTCCATTTCCCCTCACCTCTGCTCCTCGCCCTCCAGCATCTTGCGGTAGGCGTTGATCTCCATGTCCAGGGCCAGCTTGACATCCAGCAGCTGCTCGTAGTCCTCCAGCTGGCTCTGCATCTGGGTCCGCATGGCCGACATCTCCTCGTCCTTGTGGCTCAGCCGCTGCTGCCACACCTCGCGCTCCCGGTCCAGGGTCCGCTCCAGCTCCCGCACACGCCCCTCCAAGGCCCCGTTCTGAGGGGGAGATGGGAGAGTGAGAGGGAGACAGAGAGAGAACAAACTGTGAAATAGGGGTTGTGAGAAACACACAGTCATCCACACAGACAACTTTGACTCCCTGACTCCAATCAACATACATAGTGATCTCCAACATCAAAAGTCTTATTATATCTCTTGTTTTTCAGTCTGTAAACCAGTCAAAGGTTCCTGTCCTATAGTAAAGGCCTAGCAGCAGCCTGGGCATGTCAGGTAGGTAGGTACCCGTTTATGGAACTTCACTCAGTCACACCTCCTAGCTACAGATCTAGGATCAGCTTCCCTTCCCTTTCTCTTCCCCAATCCTAACCTTAACCAATAGTGGGGAAATGCAAAACTGACCCAAGATCACCATCTACAGGCAACCTTACCTTACTCCTACACACATACACCAGGTACCTGTTTTTGGAAGTGATTGAGCTGGGAGGAGAGGGTCTCGATGCGGAGCTTGGTGCCAGACAGCTCCTCTCTGGTGGACGATGCAAAGTCACTGCTCTTCAGCGCCGTCTGATGGGCGTTCTCTAGCTGTCACCCACACACCAAAGGAAAAGCAATGTGTTAATGTCATATGCTTTGACATGAGATTGAGCTACATTTTCTGTTTATCATAAGCCACAAATTTGAATAAGACACACATTCAGATTTACAGCAATGTTTCTAAATAACTTCCTCATATGAGTGGAGCTGCCCAACAGACCAGAGTCAACTGCATACATGTTGAATACTTGAGGTGAACTTGATTTGGCTTGACCAGTACACATGATGGACTGGGTTTGCACTTTTGGAACTATTCGGTTGGTTCCATTTTACAGAGCAAGCCAAATAAGGTGTACCTCAAGTGTTTGCTATTGGCTACAGTATGACGACACTTGTACCTAACACAGGGGGAGGACTGGTGAGAATACCTTCATCAGTTGGACAAAGCCCTCCCTAATCTGCACTGCCATCTTTCTCACTGCTCTTTTCTCTTCAGTCATCATGCACTCCTGCTCTAACAGTATGCAGGACACACACAGAGACTCCCTGGCACACAGCTCTGTCTGAGAAACACACACAGTTATACACCAGCGACAAACATAAATACACACACACACACACACACCTCAACATACTCTTGAATGTCACTTTGAAACTGGGCGCATATTCAAGATCGCAATGTTTCAAAATGTTTAGCTGCTGCTGTATGCTTTCTAAAATGTTCCCACATTTATCCATGCCTGCAAATGTTGATTTTGGCAAGAAAGCGGCAGAGGAAATCAAAGCTGGATGGTGTTCAGAGATAGATGGGAGGGGTTGAGAGGAGCTGAAGGATGGGACTAATAACAAACAAAAGGTAACTATTGTCAAATATACTGTGTCTGTAAAATGTATAAGCTGGAAGAAGATGCCTAAGTGTTGTTGTCCATTAGTTTACTCCAATTAGGGGAGGGGTGGTAGGGTTAGGGGAAAATAATAAGGGAGTGAGAGAGGCAGAGAGAGAGAGAGGCAGAGAGAGCAGCAGGGAGAGAGAGCAGCAGGGAGAGAGAGATAGAGGAAGAGAGAGAGAGGCAGAGAGAGCAGCAGGGAGAGAGAGCGAGAGGAAGAGAGAGAGACAGAGAGAGAGGCAGAGTGAGAGAGCAGCAGAGAGAGAGACAGAGAGAGGGTCTGCTATACAAATTGATGGAAAGTGGGGTTGGGGGAAAAACATACGACATTATAAAATCCATGTACACAAACAACAAGTGTGCGGTTAAAATTGGCAAAAAACACACACATTTCTTTCCACAGGGCCGTGGGGTGAGACAGGGATGCAGTTTAAGCCCCACCCTCTTCAACATATATATCAATGAATTGGCGAGGGCACTAGAACAGTCTGCAGCACCCGGCCTCACCCTACTAGAATCTGAAGTCAAATGTCTTCTGTTTGCTGATGATCTGGTGCTTCTGTCACCAACCAAGGAGGGCCTACAGCAGCACCTAGATCTTCTGCACAGATTCTGTCAGACCTGGGCCCTGACAGTAAATCTCAGTAAGACAAAAATGATGGTGTTCCAAAAAAGGTCCAGTTGCCAGGACCACAAATACAAATTCCATCTAGACAACCGTTGCCCTAGAGCACACAAAAAACTATACATACCTCGGCCTAAACATCAGCGCCACAGGTAACTTCCACAAAGCTGTGAACGATCTGAGAGACAAGGCAAGAAGGGCCTTCTATGCCATCAAAAGGAACATAAAATTTGACATACCAATTAGGATCTGGCTAAAAATACTTGAATCAGTTATAGAACCCATTGCCCTTTATGGTTCTGAGGTCTGGGGTCCGCTCACCAACCAAGAATTCACAAAATGGGACAAACACCAAATTGAGACTCTGCATGCAGAATTCTGCAAAAACATCCTCCGTGTACAACGTAAAACACCAAATAATGCATGCAGAGCAGAATTAGGCCAATACCCCGCTAATTATCAAAATCCAGAAAAGAGCCGTTAAATTCTATAACCACTTAAAAGGAAGCGATTCCCAAACCTTCCATAACAAAGCCATCACCTACAGAGGATGAACTTGGAGAAGAGTCCCCTAAGTAAGCTTGTCCTGGGGCTCTGTTCACAAACACAAACAGACCCCACACAGCCCCAGGACAACAACAACAACAACAACACAATTAGACCCAACCAAATCATGAGAAAACAAAAAGAGAATTACTTGACACATTGGAAAGAACAAACAAATAAACAGAGCAAACTAGAATGCTATTTGGCCCTAAACAGAGAGTACACAGTGGCAGAATACCTGACCACTGTGACTGACCCAAACTTAAGGAAAGCTTTGACTATGTACAGACTCAGTGAGCATAGCCTTGCTATTGAAAGGCCGCCGTAGGCAGACCTGGCTCTCAAGAGAAGACAGGCTATGTGCACACTGCCCACAAAATGAGGTGGAAACTGAGCTGCACTTCCTAACCTCCTGCCAAATGTATGACCATATTAGAGACACATATTTCCCTCAGATTACAGCGATCCACAAAGAATTCGAAAACAAACCCAATTTTGATCAACTCCCTTATCTACTGGGTGAAAAACCACAGTGTGCCATCACAGCTGCAAGATTTGTGACCTGTTGCCACAAGAAAAGGGCAACAGGAAGAGAGACAAGTAGATACAACCAGAATGAGAGAGACAACTAGCACAGAGAAGAGGTAAGATACATAGAGACAGAAAGCAGCTGTGAAAGAGACAGAGAGAAGGGAGAGTTCACTTGATAGCACTTCACTGGGCATGAACACAGAGCAGCAAATTGGAGAGAGACAGAGAGCAGCAGGGAGAGAGACAGAGAGCAGCAGGGAGAGAGACAGAGAGAGAGGCAGGAGAGTGAGAGTACCTTGGCATTGAAATTCTTCTCCAGGTCCTCTTTATACTGCTGGATTTGTCCATCGTGCTCCTGCCGTAGCTGCTGCATGGCCTCGGCCAACTTACTCTCGAATTCTTTCTGTCTCCCAGAATCCACCTCCACCAGGCGACTCTCGTGTCTGCTCCGGATCTCCCTGACCTCCTACACACACACACACACACACACAACGACATGAACAGAGGCAAACGCCTACCGCAGGAAGAAGAGATTGGTCACATTCCATTCTAACTCCTAGTCCCTTCTCCCAGACCCTATCCTCACCCCCTCCCTACCACGACCCCTTCTACCCAACATGGAGGAAACGACATGGGCCACATTCCATTTTAATCCCCAGCTCTTAACCATTTCTCCTCACCCTCCTACCCCTATCCACTTCCCTTAACCCCTTCCCTCCTGCATGCTCTGGATACCCCACACCTCCTAGACAGACAGGCAGAGACAACATAGACTTTGATATATTACTATTTATTTGTCAAAGGTGTTACCCACTTCTACAACCAACCAATCTTCCTTCTGTGTCACTCCTGTGGTAATAGTGGGCCACGTGATGCCTTGCCTGTACAGCAGTGTGTGCCCGTCCATGTCTATGTGTCCGTGGCCGTGTGTCAAGTGTGCGTGTTACCTGTTCATCGATGTGCCTCTGGAACTCGAGCTGTTCCCGTAGCGTCTGCACCTGGTTCTCCAGGTCCACCCTCCTCAACATCTCAGAGTTCAGCTGGGTCTTAGTCTCCGCCAGCGCACACTCCAACTGAGACAAGGAGTCAAAGAGATCACTTTTTCCATTCAAGGGGTTAACATCTAGCAGAAATGAAGCAACCCCCCTCATAAATTACCTAGCTACGTCTCCTAAAAGCCCATAAGCATCTTCTCTCTAGCTAATGTTCGCCACCCTACTCTAGTACCAGCTTAAACCTATGGCTAGCCAAGTTAGTTAGCTTCAGACTATCATTAAAAAACATAACAGGAGATTCAAAAAGGTCAAATCAGCACATCGCTGTTCCATGCCTTTTGCGTTGTCACCCACTCCTTCTCAGAGCTGCTTCCATAGCAGTGTTCACACCCGACACAGAACCTGATGCATAACACTCAAAATTCTACAAAAACATCTGTATGTGGTGTTGGGTTTAATTGTATTTAACTATTGCAAACAAAACATTAAATGAACCCCACTTGAAGGCCTATAGACTGCAGTCTAGTCCTTACATTGGCCACCTGGGTCTTTAGGTCAGTGATGTCATCAGCCTGTCTTCTGTTATCTGCCAGTTGATTGGCCAGCTCTGCATCTTTAGAGTTGAGGACCGCCTCCAAGTTCCTCCACTGACCCATGGCCATGTTACACTCTGCTTCCTTCTTCTGGTTCCTGGTAGGATGGAAAATAGATGAGAAGACAGGCGGTTACTATGGTTCCTGGAAGGAGGCGAGATGAGAGAAAACAGGTGGTTACTATGGTTCCTGGAAGGAGATGAGAAGACAGGCGGTTACTATGGTTCCTGGAAGGAGGCGAGATGAGAGAAAACAGGTGGTTACTATGGTTCCTGGAAGGAGATGAGAAGACAGGTGGTTACTATGGTCCCTGGAAAGAGGTGAGAAGACAGGTGGTTACTATGGTTCCTGGAAAGAGGTGAGAAGACATGTGGTTACTATGGTTCCTGGAAAGAGGTGAGAAGACAGGTGGTTACTATGGTTCCTGGAAAGAGGTGAGAAGACAGGTGGTTACTATGGTTCCTGGAAAGAGGTGAGAAGACAGGTGGTTACTATGGTTCCTGGAAAGAGGTGAGAAGACAGGTGGTTACTATGGTTCCTGGAAAGAGGTGAAAAGACAGGTGGTTACTTTGGTTCCTGGAAAGAGGTGAAAAGACAGGTGGTTACTTTGGTTCCTGGAAAGAGGTGAGAAGACAGTTGGTTACTATGGTTCCTGGAAGGAGGTAAAGTGATAGAAAGAAGTGAGACGTCAGGGAGGTTAGTATGATTCCTGGTAGGAGTGAAAAGATATCAAAAGAGAAATGTATCACTGAAGTTAAAGGGCAACTGAATACAAGAACCAACTTCTCTGGATAAAACGACCTATGTGGCATTGATATTAGGCAGAAACATTTATTCCAGTGCCAAAATTGTCTAAAAAGTGTAAGTAGGATAATTATGGTCAGTTATTAGGGATGTAGCTCAGTTGATAGAGCATGGCGTTTGCAACGCCAGGGTTTGTGGGTTCGATTCCCACGGGGGGCCAGTATAAAAAAATAAATATATATATGTATTCACTAACTGTAAGTCGCTCTGGATAAGAGCGTCTGCTAAATTACGTAAATGTAAATGTCATAAAGTCAGTATATTCCAAAACAGAGTTGTGTGAGATTTGTATTAACTGAGTTTGTCACGACTTACTTGGGGTTAGGTTTTGATTTGGATCATTCCCACTATCATGGGATTGTAGCGCCTAGGGCGAATCGTCATGCACAAGAAACAGCTGTGCTGATTGCGCTCTATCCAATCGTAAGGAAGAACACAGACAGTAAGACAGACCTTCCCACATTACGCAGCACCTCGGACTCGGAGTCAGTTTTGCATGGCCCCAGGCGTCGATGCCCCGGGTGGGTGGAGATTTCACATTAAGGAACAATGCAATGGTCTAAAATAATCAAACTCTGCCTATCCGGGGGCCCTGGCCATGCAAAACGAACTCAACCATTGTTATGTTGAAAGAACACTTAGCCCCTAAGCCCTTTATGGAGTGGCCACTTGCTGATGTGTCTGATAGTGATCACTATAGTCTGCCTAGTACTTGACTTGGACTGAAATAGGTGCCGGTAGCTTACTCCTTTCGGGTGCCGGTACTGTTTATATTTAGGTGCAGGAACTCCATAATACTTGAGCTAATATTCTATTTGAGGTGCATGAACTCAAGCAGTAGAAAATGTGATGTGCCGGACTGCCGGTACTCAGCTCTATGACCTCCTGCCCAAGTCAAGCACTGTCTGCCACTGTTTTGTGCAAAATGAGAATTGACTCGAGACGATGCGCGCACTTGTATCCCAACTGCCACTTGTCAATATTCCAAAATTCTAAACCCATTAGCGAGCATCTTGTATCCTGCCATGACTTGTTTTGTAACATGATTCACTATCTAACATGGAAAACATAACGGCACCGAAGCACACACGTCACACTCGCTCATTTATCTAACGTGGCTTTCCTGCTCAATGTGCCTGCTAGCTACTACTAGCTAGCATCATTGACAAATACAGATGGAACTAAGCCTGCTAGTGATTTTGGGCTCTGATAAACAGTGTGTAGCTTATGCTTTATTTACAGTAGTTTGACTGCTTGCTGATTAAGGTTAGAATCAAATCAGTCCTGCGCAGTTCACATATAGCTCTGTGCCTGCAGCAGCAGACTGGATGGTCTTCTGCAGTGCACTGCTAGTTTTCATGCACATTTTTGAACTTGAGAAATACTGCACCAAACACCTAGCTAGGATGGAAAATTTCACGACAAAAACCTCCTCGGCAAAAAGGTCAACATTTATTACAGATTTCTTTATTTATCTTAGATTAATTGTGACTATTTTGAGGAAGTGGTAAACTATTGGCTCTGTTGTTGCTACGGTGTCTCAAGAGCGACAAACAGTAGTAACTGCCAATAAGATAACACACCCACATCAAACCACACCCCCAAGACTGAAATCTCATTTTTCTTAGAAAAGGTCCAATGCTCAATTTTAATCTCAATATCAAATCATTTCTGGATAACAATTAAGTACCTTACTGTGATCATTTTATTTGAAAACATAAAAAAAAAAACATTTAAAAAATAGCTTTTACGTATGGGTGGTCCTCTGTAGCTCAGCTGGTAGAGCACGGCGCTTGTAACGCCAGGGTAGTGGGTTCGATCCCCGGGACCACCCATACACAAAAATGTATGCACGCATGACTAAGTCGCTTTGGATAAAAGCGTCTGCTAAATGGCATATTATTATTATAAAATAGTAATTTCTCAAGCAAGATTTTTGCTAGGACTTTCAGAGTGGTCTGAATGGGGAGGGTAAAACTGAAAATCATATGTTATTGGCAGAGATGCTTGGAACTCTTTTTTTTGGGGGGGGGGGGGGGGGGGGGTAGATCAGCTTAATATTGCAGATAGATTGTAACTTCCATCAATGTAATTGTCTGCATCACTTCCAATCCCCCATGTTATATATACACACATACATACATACATACATACATACATACACACACATACAGTGGGGAGAACAAGTATTTGATACACTGCTGATTTTGCAGGTTTTCCTACTTACAAAGCATGTAGAGGTCTGTAAATTGTTATCATAGGTACACTTCAACTGTGAGAGATGGAATCTAAAACAAAAATCCAGAAAATCACATTGTATGATTTTTAAGTAATTAATTTGCATTTTATTGCATGACATAAGTATTTGATACAGAAAAGCAGAACTTAATATTTGGTACAGAAACCTTTGTTTGCAATTACAGAGATCATACGTTTCCTGTAGGTCTTGACCAGGTTTGCACACACTGCAGCAGGGATTTTGGCTCACTCCTCCATACAGACCTTCTCCAGATCCTTCAGGTTTCGGGGCTGTCGCTGGGCAATACAGACTTTCAGCTCCCTCCAAAGATTTTCTATTGGGTTCAGGTCTGGAGACTGGCTAGGCCACTCCAGGACCTTAAGATGCTTCTTACGGAGCCACTCCTTAGTTGCCCTGGCTGTGTGTTTCGGGTCGTTGTCATGCTGGAAGACCCAGCCACAACCCATCTTCAATGCTCTTACTGAGGGAAGGAGGTTGTTGGCCAAGATCTCGTGATACATGGCCCCATCCATCCTCCCCTCAGTACGGTGCAGTCGTCATGTCCCCTTTGCAGAAAAGCATCCCCAAAGAATGATGTTTCCACCTCCATGCTTCACGGTTGGGATGGTGTTCTTGGGGTTGTACTCATCCTTTTTCTTCCTCCAAACACAGCAAGTGGAGTTTAGACCAAAAAGCTCTATTTTTGTCTCATCAGACCACATGACCTTCTCCCATTCCTGCTCTGGATCATCCAGATGGTCATTGGCAAACTTCAGACGGGCCTGGACATGCACTGGCTTGAGCAGGGGGACCTTGCGTGCGCTGCAGGATTTTAATCCATGACGGCGTAGTGTGTTACTAATTACATTTTACATTTTAGTCATTTAGCAGACGCTCTTATCCAGAGCGACTTACAAATTGGTGCATTCACCCTATAGCCAGTGGGATAACCACTTTACAAATTTTTTTTTGGGGGGGGTAGAAGGATTACTTTATCCTATCCCATGTATTCCTTAAAGAGGTGGGGTTTCAAATGTCTCCGGAAGGTGGTGAGTGACTCCGCTGTCCTGGCGTCGTGAGGGAGCTTGTTCCACCATTGGGGTGCCAGAGCAGCGAACAGTTTTGACTGGGCTGAGCAGGAACTATGCTTCCGCAGAGGAAGGGGAGCCAGCAGGCCAGAGGTGGATGAACGCAATGCCCTCGTTTGGGTGTAGGGACTGATCAGAGCCCGAAGGTACAGAGGTGCCGTTCCCCTCACTGCTCCATAGGCAAGCACCATGGTCTTGTAACGGATGCGAGCTTCAACTGGAAGCCAGTGGAGTGTGCGGAGGAGGGGGGTGACGTGAGAGAACTTGGGAAGGTTGAACACCAGACGGGCTGCGGCGTTCTGGATGAGTTGTAGGGGTTTAATGGCACAGGCAGGTAGGCCAGCCAACAGCGAGTTGCAGTAATCCAGACGGGAGATGACAAGTGCCTGGATTAGGACCTGTGCCGCTTCCTGTGTAAGGCAGGGTCGTACTCTCCGAATGTTGTAGAGCATGAACCTGCAGGAGCGGGTCACCGCCTTGATGTTAGCGGAGAACGACAGGGTGTTGTCCAGGGTCACGCCAAGGCTCTTCGCACTCTGGGAGGAGGACACAACGGAGTTGTCAACCGTGATGGCGAGATCATGGAACGGGCAGTCCTTCCCCGGGAGGAAGAGCAGCTCCGTCTTGCCAGGGTTCAGCTTGTTGGTTCTCTTTGAGACTGTGGTCCCAGCTCTCTTCAGGTCATTGACCAGGTCCTGCCGTGTAGTTCTGGGCTGATCCCTCACCTTCCTCATGATCATTGATGCCCCACGAGGTGAGATCTTGCATGGAGCCCCAGACCGAGGGTGATTGAACGTCATCTTGAACTTCTTCCATTTTCTAATAATTGCGCCAACAGTTGTTGCCTTCTCACCAAGCTGCTTGCCTATTGTCCTGTAGCCCATCCCAGCCTTGTGCAGGTCTACAATTTTATCCCTGATGTCCTTACACAGCTCTCTGGTCTTGGCCATTGTGGAGAGGTTGGAGTCTGCTTGATTGAGTGTGTGGACAGGTGTCTTTTATACAGGTAACGAGTTCAAACAGGTGCAGTTAATACAGGTAATGAGTGGAGAACAGGAGGGCTTCTTAAAGAAAAACTAACAGGTCCGTGAGAGACGGAATTCTTACTGGTTGGTTGGTGATCAAATACTTATGTCATGCAATAAAATGCAAATGAATTACTTAAAAATCATACAATGTGATTTTCTGGATTTTTGTTTTAGATTCCGTCTCTCACAGTTGAAGTGTACTACCTATGATAAAAATTACAGACCTCTACATGCTTTGTAAGTAGGAAAACCTGCAAAATCGGCAGTGTATCAAATACTTGTTCTCCCCACTGTACATACATATCCTTTAAAAAATATATATATATTCCCCTTTATTACTTTCCAACCCCGCCACCCTTTCCCCACTTGGAGTAAACTAGTGAACAACAACACCTAGGCCTCTACTTCCAGCCCATACCCACTATCTACATTTTATGGACACAGTCAATTTTACAGTAATTACATTTTGTTTGTTCTTTCTCCTGAACTTCTTCTACTCTCAACCTCTCCGATCATTTTCATGATGTCCATCCGGTTTGCTTCTATATGCCATATATTTCTAACTATGCTCCTTCACAAAAGCTCCCAACTTACAACCCATACACTTATTATGGATACAGCGTGCCAACATTATTAGTTATCTTGTTATTATTTGTTGTTAGTTGTTATTAGTCCCATCCTTCAATTCCATTCAACACCTCCCATCTATCTTTTAACACCATCCATATAGGATTTCTATTTGCCATATATATTTCAACTGTACTGCGATGTCTTACAAAAGTTCTGAACCTTTCTATTCTCATTGTTTCTACAGATTGTGAATTGAAAATAAACATTTTTGCTAATAGTATTATGCTATTGATCGATTGACTATGACTTTTCAGATCACCCAGTAGTGCTTTCAGATCACCCAGTAGTGCTATCTGCAGGGTTAGCTCCAGGTAAATATTGCAATACTTTAGCCATTCCTGGACCTGTGTCCAAAAACAAGCTACAAATGGACAGTACCAAAACAAATGATCTAATGATTCTGTCTCTTCGCAGCAAAATCTGCAGAGTTGGGAAGATTGTATCCCCCATATAAATAACATTATATTGGTAGCAAGAATTGTATATAATAATTTAAATTGAAAGATTCTAACGCCAGGGTAGTGGGTTCGATCCCCGGGACCACCCATACACAAAAATGTATGCACGCATGACTGTAAGTCGCTTTGGATAAAAGCGTCTGCTAAATGGCATATTATTATTATTATAAGTTAGTAATTTCTCAAGCAAGAATTTTGCTAGGACTTTCAGAGTGGTCTGAATGGGGAGGGGAAAACTGAAAATCATCTGTTATTGGCAGAGATGCTTGGAACTCTTTCTGATTGGTCTATTAACTCATTCACCACATTGTGATGTAATCATGGAAGGCCAAAACTCCATCCCACCAAAACAGGCTGAAATTACAGGCAGTCTTTTCAAACAGGTTTTACACTAAAAGTGCATTATCATCATTTTTACAGTATTATTCCAACCTTATAGTGTGGAAATATATATAAAACACAGGAAAATCACTGGGCCTTTAAATGTGCAACAGAAAAACAAGGGGAATCACTGAGTTGTCACCCTTTAACTCTTCGCTCTGACTCCTTGCCATTATTACTACACAAACACCTGGTGGGAGGAAAAGAGGACTTAGAAGACAGGTGGTTGCTATGGTTCCTGGTAGGATAGAATAGAGATTAAAAGAGGTTATATGTTTCACTTCCTGAAGGGCAGGATATTAGAGATCAGGTTTTATTCTGGGTATAATTCAATTGTTACTTTTATTGTGGATGTTAATACACATCATGCATGGCATATGATTCTTTGTTATTAGGCTATATTGTCGTTATTAAAACAAGAGACAGAAGGATATTATCATGCTTCATATTAGGAAAGAGAGATAATGAACCAAATCTCTCTGAGGTCTCTTCCTCAAAAGTAATCATGGATATGCCTTACTATCTGTAGATCATATCCTGCACAGAAAAATACATTATATTATCATAAATGTGGAACCCCACTCTCCAAGGGTGTCTGTTGGGATATACAAAAAACACATTAGCAATTCACGTGTATAATATACAGTTGTACATAGGTGAAATAGGACAAATATAAGCACCCACCTATTTATTATTATTTAAAAAATGGAGAATGTGCGATTGTTTAAATTAAATGATACAGGCTACCCATTGATTTTTGAAGAATCTAACTTAAAAATGCCTCATGAGTTTAGTTCAACTGTCGTACCCTACCCCAAAATATAAACTTTTCACTCCAAAATGTAGGCCTGATTGTAAACTAACACTTTATGCTATTTTATCAAAAACGATGGATCTCAACAATCAATGACAACAGCGCGAATGCACAGGACAAACATAGATACATAGATTTGTTTGCAGGTTATCATATCTACCTGGCTTGTAGTTTACTATGCTCTTCAGAAAGATGACCCATCTCGATCTGCAGCCGGGCCCTTTCGTTCGCCAGCACGTCCAAGCTCTTCCTCGCGTCGGCCAACTCCGCCTCGTACAGCCGCCGAACGTTGGCCGTCTCCCGGGTAGTGGACTCCTCTTTCTCCTCCAGGAGAAGCAGCATGGAGGACTTGTCATTCTCCAGCTGGCGGACACGCTCTATGTAGGCGGCCAGGCGGTCGTTCAGATGGCTAAGCTCCTCTTTCTCCTGGCTGCGTGAGAGCCGGGTTGGGCTGGTGCTGGACGGGCCGGCGCCACTTCGTCGGGAGGAGCGCGTTGAGCGACTGGTTGAGGTAACTGAAGCCATGGCGCGTTCTCATGTGACTGCATGCGCTGGGTTTGGGCTGAGTTTGCGGCAATGATTTATATATACACTAGATGACAATAGGGGGCGCTGTGTTGAAGCCACCCTGCCTCCATCTTGGCTCTCCCCCGACGTCGTAAAAAATATTTTGGAAGCTATAGAAATGCATTTATTAACGTCATTAGTTTTTGCCACATTTATTCTATTACAGACACCATAATGCATATTTTGAAATGATTTTTTGAGATAGCTAATGTTACGTAGATACATGTAAGTTTGTCCTTGAAACATTTAATGAAATACTGTAGAATTCCATTAATTCCTATGGAGGACTGTGCCTACTGAGTGCCAATATGGCCGACCTGTGGCCTCAAAGCACTCAATGGCCAATAGATAATATTGCAATCCAGGGTTTATATAAATCATTGGTTTGCACTGAGTTCTTCTTCTTCTTCTTCTTCTTCTTCTTCTCTGGTATAATGGTGGTCCGCAAACAAACGTTTTAGGTGAATGCTACCACATACTGTGCTGGAGGTGGTGGCGCTGATGAATAGAGAATAAATGAGTAATCAGTGTATGTTATAAATAAATGGAGGGCATCCATAGAAGAACGTGGAATAAGCAGGTAAGTGTAGAGCCTATCAATGACAAAATAAACGTGCATTACACTTATTAGAGATTTCACATGACATTCCTAAACAATTAAATCATGTTGTAAGAGGGTGGAGGTGCAATTACTAGAAAAAAATATTGCAGTCATGTGATTGTGAATTGTAAGGTCATTGGCCATTTGAATTAATTGGTTGTTTGCTCTGATTGGTTGCAGGAGTGGCTCTGGAAAACGCACACAGGGGTGCGTTCAGTTCGATTAAATGTTTGCTACGTTCGGTAACGGCTTGTACTGAACGTTCATGAACAGACTTTGAGGTACGTTTGCTCCGTTTGGTGGGTGTGGTGGGGTGTGGCTTGATGCAATGAGTGACATATTTAAAGGGCATCAGTGCATTTCGAACCCACAACCCAACCCCTCCTTGTTTTTCAACTGGTCATTCAGGACAGCACCATTTCTGTGTAATTGAACGTCGCAGTATGTTTTTTTCGTACTGAACGCAGCCCTGACCTACTGTAGCAGCAAACCTATGTTCATTGAGGGGATTCGATAAACCTGGCCACGCCGCCCGGGTTGTCGTGTTGCGCATCGAGTGAAAGTTGATTGCATTAGTTTTGGAACTGGGCTGCCTCCCGGGCGAGAGCCAGGCGCCCCGTTCAAAACCCACGGCGAAGTCGTCTCAGAACAAAAGTGACTTAATTATGAGTAGGATTCTGTGTTTTCACATGCAAAAGTGATTGGTTTTGATAAAAACACCTTATGTGCCTTCCCAATGAAAACTAGTTTGAAAATTCAAACATATATTTTATGGAAAAATATGTTGTATGTTTCTGGACGATGCACAGTGCTGCCTTGTTGACAACATGGCCGAGCAGCGCAGATTACTGTTCCATTTGAGAAGGGCGCTCCTCCCTCACCGCTTTTGCCCATTCAAGTCACGGGCCATAGACCGGTGACCAGAGGCTCAGCATAATCGAATCCACCCAATCACAGCTGACAAGGCTTCTGTCCAGTCTCTGTGTTGTATTAATATGTTAATTGTAAATAGGCCTATCCTGAGTACAACCTGTGTTTGGTAACTGTGCGGATATGGAGACAGCCAGCAAAGATATTTATTGTGTTTTATTGTGTAATTGTACAAAAGCTTGATTATTTAGAATGATGCCACCTGTCGGATGGTTGTAACCAAATATGATCTATTATATTGACAAGATAGTCGAGTGACTGCTCTAACGCATGTCCTCAAAGATGGAAGGCAGGCAGGAGGAGGCGAGGTCAGGTGGGACCATTCTAGCCAATGAGTGGGCAGATATGTGTGTGAACAACAGGCACAACTCCGATATAAAATAGTTTTTTCCAAAGTTGCCGAAATGACACATGCGTCCACTTATATCAGTGCATTCGTAACAACCTAACCATTACGAAACTTCATCCCTGTGGGGATGTAGCCCTGTAGGGGTGTAGCCCTGTAGGGATGTAGCCCTGTAGGGATGTAGCCCTGTAGGGATGTAGCCCTGTTGGGATGTAGCCCTGTAGGGATGTGGCCCTGTAGGGATGTGGCCCTGTTGGGATGTGGCCCTTTTGGGATGTGGCCCTGTTGGGATGTAGCCCTGTAGGGATGTAGCCCTGTTGGGATGTGGCCCTGTTGGGATGTGGCCCTGTTGGGATGTGGCCCTGTTGGGATGTAGCCCTGTAGGGATGTAGCCCTGTTGGGATGTAGCCCTGTAGGGATGTAGCCCTGTAGGGATGTAGCCCTGTAGGGATGTAGCCATTTGGGATGTAGCCCTGTAGGGATGTAGCCCTGTAGGGATGTAGCCCTGTTGGGATGTAGCCCTGTAGGGATGTAGCCCTGTAGGGATGTAGCCATGTAGGGATGTAGTCCTGTAGGGATGTGGCCCTGTTGGGATGTGGCCCTGTCCAGGATCAATGGAGACCACAACTGGATGCTGGTAATGGAATCACACAACACAGGATTATCACAAAATATATATTTTATTAAAAAGAGTTAAGGTTTGAAATAGTACACAAGCTGTAGGGGTTGACGGACTTAGAATGGCAGTTTCAGTGTTTTCAATACAAAAGGCTGATATAATAATTTCAGTGTAACACGCAATATTCAATTCCCAGTAATGTAGCTCGGGCACAGCAAATGCCAAGATATCAAGTTCAGCACCGCAAACTTCACACAAGGGTCGTAATTTCGTAAACACTGAAAGTACTTAATGCGATAAATAATCAAGTACAATATAAATACATGAAATATGTCCCATCTGATTACTGTCATTTGTCACTGATTAGGTAAGAATGCTGGACAAGCTGCCTCTGTGTCCCAAACTCTCCTGACTCCTGGCTCTCGTGGGTCCCTCCATCTCTCAAACTCGCCTGACTCAACATGCTGGCTCTCAGGGTCCCGCCAAATGCCTTCAACAAGAAGATGGTTACCCTGAGAAGAACTGAGAAGGTCAGATGTAAATTGGGGAACATGCTAAGAACCTACAAACGGGCCAAAGAACGCTGCCGGGAGACGGGCCAGGGGAGAACCACTTGGCAGTGCTTTGAGGTTAATGACTCTGGTGCATAGGGTTATGATTAACACAATATGACCTTCGGTATTTCTTATTCCACTCAGGTAATGAATGACATACAGCTTATAAATAATTCACAATTTCTTCTAAAAATACGTTTTGGTGTTCACACATGTATTTGTTTGATTTACAAAGTCTGCACAGGACCAAGAAAAATATATAAACTGAAATTGAGAATTTTAACCTCAAAGTACAAATACAATTCAGAGACAGTTGGCTATGTTCTTATGCATGTGACAATAAAACTTGAACTCAGAGGAGAAGGCGGTTCGAGACCTCAATGCTGGAGGCAGTGGCTGCCATGCAGCACATTCTTCAGCAGATGCTTATAAATCAGAAAGGATTACACTGTTGAAAAAGGAATACAACTTATGCTTTACATTCATTCTTGTCTGTCTTTACTATCCCAGGTGTGGTCCCATTAGGTCTATTTGGAGTGTTTATCTCCCTTATGGTGTAACCATTGAACACCTCTAACCGCAGACATGCAGGTGGTAAACGTATTTATAAATTATGGCATGAAACAAGGCCTGTCGGACAGATCAGTTTCGTCATCTTCAAAATATGCAGCCAGCTTCAATTGTCTGTGGTATGAATTAACCTCTGTGCGTAGTTGTGTCTTGCAGCCCCATGTAATGCCCAGCGTTGGAATAAATAACAAACCTGGTCGTAGTCTGAGCCAATGTCGGGCAGAGTGTCTGGATAGGTTTACAACGTCATTACTCTCCCCAGGTACTGGGCTAGAGAGCCCGCCTAGTTGAAAAACCTCTTCCAGAGCTTCCAGATCATCTTGCCAGTGGCAGGCACCCAATGGACAAGGTCCTCATCCACGACGAACTCCCATCGTGGCAACAGGGGGATGTACTGCAGACCGAAGATGCAACCGTTGAGAGCCTTAAGCCGATCCCTCTGCGTCTCCCTCAGCTTGCTGGAGATGTTCACTTTCGGCACCCAGATTGATGCGCTGGGGAACACTCGAGCCGCTGTGTTGAACAGGAGGAGAACACTCTCGTTGTGGGACTGAGTCGTGCCCTTGTCCTTGTTGTTAAGGCCAAAGGACAGGATCACCTTCCTCACCTAGGGAAAACATATACAGTGGGGGAAAAAAGTATTTAGTCAGCCACCAATTGTGCAAGTTCTCCCACTTAAAAAGATGAGAGAGGCCTGTCATTTTTATCATAGGTACACGTCAACTATGACAGACAAATTGAGATTTTTTTTCTCCAGAAAATCACATTGTAGGATTTTTTATGAATTTATTTGCAAATTATGGTGGAAAATAAGTATTTGGTCACCTACAAACAAGCAAGATTTCTGGCTCTCACAGCCTGTAACTTCTTCTTTAAGAGGCTCCTCTGTCCTCCACTCGTTACCTGTATTAATGGCACCTGTTTGAACTTGTTATCAGTATAAAAGACACCTGTCCACAACCTCAAACAGTCACACTCCAAACTCCACTATGGCCAAGACCAAAGAGCTGTCAAAGGACACCAGAAACAAAATTGTAGACCTGCACCAGGCTGGGAAGAATGAATCTGCAATAGGTAAGCAGCTTGGTTTGAAGAAATCAACTGTGGGAGCAATTATTAGGAAATGGAAGACATACAAGACCACTGATAATCTCCCTCGATCTGGGGCTCCATGCAAGATCTCACCCCGTGGGGTCAAAATGATCACAAGAACGGTGAGCAAAAATCCCAGAACCACACGGGGGGACCTAGTGAATGACCTGCAGAGCTGGGACCAAAGTAACAAAGCCTACCATCAGTAACACACTACGCCGCCAGGGACTCAAATCCTGCAGTGCCAGACGTGTCCCCCTGCTTAAGCCAGTACATGTCCAGGCCCGTCTGAAGTTTGCTAGAGTGCATTTGGATGATCCAGAAGAGGATTGGGAGAATGTCATATGGTCAGATGAAACCAAAATAGAACTTTTTGGTAAAAACTCAACTCGTCGTGTTTGGAGGACAAAGAATGCTGAGTTGCATCCAAAGAACACCATACCTACTGTGAAGCATGGGGGTGGAAACATCATGCTTTGGGGCTGTTTTTCTGCAAAGGGACCAGGACGACTGATCCGTGTAAAGGAAAGAATGAATTGGGCCATGTATCATGAGATTTTGAGTGCAAAGGCATTGAAGATTAAACGTGGCTGGGTCTTTCAGCATGACAATGATCCCAAACACACCGCCCGGGCAACAAAGGAGTGGCTTCGTAAGAAGCATTTCAAGGTCCTGGAGTGGTCTAGCCAGTCTCCAGATCTCAACCCCATAGAAAATCTTTGGAGGGAGTTGAAAGTCCGTGTTGCCCAGCGACAGCCCCAAAACATCACTGCTCTAGAGGAGATCTGCATGGAGGAATGGGCCAAAATACCAGCAACAGTGTGTGAAAACCTTGTGAAGACTTACAGAAAACGTTTGACCTGTGTCATTGCCAACAAAGGGTATATAACAAAGTATTGAGAAACTTTTGTTATTGACCAAATACTTATTTTCCACCATCATTTGCAAATAAATTCATTAAAAATCCTACAATGTGATTTTCTGGAAAAATATTTCTCATTTTGTCTGTCATAGTTGACGTGTACCTATGATGAAAATTACAGGCCTCTCTCATCTTTTTAAGTGGGAGAACTTGCACAATTGGTGGCTGACTAAATACTTTTTTCCCCACTGTAGGTGTGCCTTTCCTTCCTTGTGGTCCCTTGCACACCTCCCAACTTCCTGCCAGCAGGAAAGGAGGTCACTGGAAGCCCCCAAATGCACCACCCGTCTGATGTTGTCCACCTGGATGCCCATGCCGAACGCCACTATGGCCACCACATACCTGATGTGGCCATTGTCAGAGGTAAAGTCCGACAGAATGTCTCTGTGTCTGTCTGGTTGTGAAACATCTCCACCATTCTCGTATCTATGCACTGAGTTTCTCCAGGCATAAGGTCCCAGTGCTTCCTGAAGGCGGAGGTAAACTTCCGTGACCCGTTTGATGGTCCTGCAGACATCAAAGACAAGTAATACTGGTACCGAATTGTTAATGATTCATTCCTACAGACATTCCTACATGTATTTTTTTACATGAAGGAATTGCCAAATGCATCATTTATTGTCACGACAGTGGATGCACTGTAATGCATGCCGCATAACACAATATGTCAGTGCCTCTTAAAGGGTGTATGTTCCCTTGGACTCAACAAACCTGCAGTACACTATGACCTTGCTTGCTTCTCTGCCACCTTCTCTCAATTGATCCACCAGCCATGGCACCTCAACTACGATGTTGATGTTGTGGAGGGACAGTTAGATGTTGGGTCTGTCTTGGATCTGATGATACACAAGCCCAGTCGTATAGTTACTGTAGCATCCGCATCATGGAACATGTGACAATGAAACATGCAATAATTTCACAATCATGGGTTGGAAAATAACACTGTATAAGCTATAACTAATAAAGGAGGAAGTAGCCACAATCACAGACTAGGAAGAACAGTCATCATCTCAACGGAGCTCATGGAGAGGTGCATGACTTGTGCTGAAATTATACTCCTTACAGAAGGGATTTTAAGGTACTCCTCTTGAAAGGATGTGAGCCTCTGTTAAACAGACAGACCACTGGAAGAGGATTTAGGTGAACAACTTTCCGATGAAAGTATGCTTCAGAGAATACATTCTGAGACATGCTATAATACAATTTAAAATAGTCGGCTGCAGTGGTCAAAGGAAAAATTATCCAAGATTAGACCAGAAATAGATCCCACTTGTGACTGATGTATTAAAGCAGGCTCCTGCTACTTTATTTCACATGTTTTGGACATGCCCAAAATGTATTGATTTCTGGAAGTCCATTTTTAAGACGTTTTCCAAGGTACTGGAGAGACCTATAGAACCTTCTGCCTTTGTTGCAGTGGAGACTCCTCAGAGGAGGAAGGGGAGGACCATCCTACTCAGTGAATTTCATAAAAATAAAAATAGTGAAACATTTAAAAAGTTATTATTTTTTAGATAAGACTATACTATATATATATTCACGTCACCAAATAATTCATTAAAACCCACTGTTTTGCAATGAAGGTCTACAGAATCCTCAGCAGCACTCTGTAGGATAGCACCATGGTGTAGCCGGCAGACAGCTAGCTTCTGTCCACCTCTGGGTACATTGTCTTCAATACAAAACCTAGGAGGCTCATGGTTCTCACCCCCTCCATAGACTTACACAGTAATTATGACAACTTCCGGAGGAGGTCCTCCAACCTGTCAGAGCTCTTGCAGCATGAACTGACATGTTGTCCACCCAATCAAGGGTTCAGAGAGAGAGAGAGAGAGAGAGAGAGAGAGAGAGAGAGAGAGAGAGAGAGAGAGAGAGAGAGAGAGAGAGAGAGAGAGAGAGAGAGAGAGAGAGAGAGAGAGAGATAGCTATATTTCATTTTCACTTTCACTTACTTAGCTAGCTCAATTAGCCTACTCAAACACCTGGCTCAAACAAAGAGGGATGCTATGTTAGCTAGCTGGCTATGGCTATGGCTATCCAACACTGGAACTCTTCCAAGTCAACATAAGCTTTTGGTTTTATTAATGTATTACCTGTGGATGTATTTCAAGGCGTACCTTCAAACTCAGTGCCTCTTTGCTTGACATCATGGGAAAATCAAAAAAAATCAGCCAAGACCTCAGAAAAAAAATTGTAGGCCTCCACAAGTCTGGTTCATCCTTGGGAGCAATTTCCAAACGCCTGCAAGTATAAACACCATGGGACCACGCAGCCGTCATACCGCTCAGGAAGGAGACGTGTTCGGTGTCCTAGAGATGAACGTACTTTGGTGCGAAAAGTACAAATCAATCCCAGAACAACAGCAAAGAACCTTGTGAAGATGCTGGAGGAAACAGGTACAAAAGTATCTATATCCACAGTAAAACAAGTCCTATATCGTCATAACCTGAAAGGCCGCTCAGTAAGGAAGAAGCCACTGCTCCAAAACCGCCATAAAAAAGCCAGACTACGGTTTGCAACTGCACATTTGGACAAAGATCGTACTTTTTGGAAAATATCCTCTGGTCTGATGAAACAAAAATTGAACTGTTTGGCCATAATGACCATCGTTATGTTTGGAGGAAAAAGGGGGTTGCTTGCAAGCCGAAGAACACCATCCCAACCGTGAAGCACGGGGGTGGCAGCATCATCCTGTGGGGGTGCTTTGCTGCAGGAGGGACTGGTGCACTTCACAAAATAGATGGCATCATGAGGAAGGAAAATTATGTGGATATATTGAAGCAACATCTCAAGACATCAGTCAGGAAGTTAAATCTTGGTCGCAAATGGGTCTTCCAAATGAACAAAGACCCCAAGCATACTTCCAAAGTTGTGGCAAAATGGCTGAAGGACAACAAAGTCAAGGTATTGGAGTGGCCATCACAAAGCCCTGACCTCAATCCTATAGAAAATGTGTGGGCAGAACTGAAAAAGCATGTGCGAGCAAGGAGGCCTACAAACCTGACTCAGTTACACCAGCTCTGTCAGGAGGAATGGGCCAAAATTCACCCAACTTATTGTAGGAAGCTTGTGGAAGGCTACCCGAAACGTTTGACCCAAGTTAAACAATTTAAAGGCAATGCTACCAAAACCTAATTGAGTGTATGTAAACTTCTGACCCACTAGGACTGTGATGAAATAAATAAAAGCTTAAATAAATCATTCTCTCTACTATTATTCTGACATTCTTAAAATAAAGTGGTGATCCTTTCTGACCTAAGACAGGGAATTTTTACTAGGATTAAATGTCAGGAATTGTGAAAAACTGAGTTTAAATGTATTTGGCTAAGGTGTATGTAAACTTCCGACTTCAACTGTATGTGGCTGCTATGAAAATGAACTGTGTTTGCGTGTGATGAGGGGTGTATTCATTGCGCCGATTATTTTGAAAAACGTTTCTTAAACGGAAGCAAATGGAACAAAACGGGATAAACATACCTGAATTTGTCCAATAGAATCTCTCGTTTGCAACTGTTGGACTAATGATTACACCCTTGATCAGCTAGATGCAGGCAAGAGCGTGAAAGTCTGTACTGAATGTGTCACTGTCTGTCACCTAGATTACTCAAAATTCTCTCGACCTGTGCACCTACTTAGTAAACGTTCATTCAGGCTAGGTTGTAGCAGCCTCATGATGGGTACAGGGAAAATAAGAGTATCATTTAGTAGCCTAAACATATCGATGTTACATTGAGCTGGGTGAATGGAATATGAATAACAGTCATCCAATGTGCTGTAATAGAAATAAGGCCATGTTCATTAAAAAAAAGTATAATCTCCCTCATTTTAAACGGCACCACTGCTTTGTTGCATTATTCGGAGTGGCAACACAGGATGCCCCTCTGGACAGTTAAATGGGCAATATGGTAGCATTTACTAGGCTACTCTAATAGTTAGACGTCTTATATTGTTAACGTGGAAAGATCGGTTTCCTCCTTCCTTGGATAAAGGAAGTCATGCAACATCTCAAGCTAGAGGAAATGCACTATTCCCTAAGATGATCTGCAATTCAATTTTATGATATCTGGCAGCTTTTCCTATCTTTTGTAGAAAACATGGACCTAGCTAATTTCACAACTCCATAAACTAACCCAAATAAGGGTTACTTTTCTTTCCTTTTTGTTTGATTATATCTTTGTTTTTCATAATTTGATTAGTATGAAGAAAAAAAAATTATGCACTCACTAACGTCGCTCTGGATAAGAGCGTCTGCTAAATTACTAAAATGTAAATGTATATCACTTCAATTCTGTCATGCCTGTTTAATTAAAGTCTGGTATTGGGGTGGTGTTCTGTTGGAGCATGAGGGCGTTGGAGTGGGTTTGATGTGGTAACTTTATGGCGCAGCTAATCATAAACAGAGCACAACATAACGATTCTTAACAATATTACCGTATTGGTCCGAATATAAGACGGCCTTTTTTCCCCTCGAAATAGGTCCAAAAAAGTCGGGTCGTCTTATATTCGGGGTCTAGTATTCAGAGCGCAGTTTCTCTTCTTCGGCGCTCCCTTTAAATGTCAATACACATTCGCGGGCACAGATGGCGCCAAAAATTCGTTCCGGACGGAGGGAAGAGGCGTCCTTAACAACCAGCCCGTTACCGGTGTTTAAAGATGGAAAGACAGGCTGACCATTTAGAGACAAGTGGCTCAAAAGTGGGCCAGGTCAATAAACAACAGCGGAGGAGCTATGATGCCAATTTCAAAATAATGGTTGTCAATAAGGCAGAGTCATCTAACAACTGCCAAGCTGCCAAGACATTCGGGGTCACTGAGTGTAATGTAAGAAGATGGCGAGCAGAAAAACAACGTCTAAAAGATGCTAACAGTCAGCGAAAATCCTTCCGTGGTCCTCAAAGTGGTCGTTTCATTGAGGTTGACCGGAGGGTTTTTGAATATGTCAGGGAAAAAAGAAGTGAGGGAATGCCCATTACCAGAGCTGTCATCCAGGTTAAGGCCCTGGAAATCGCCAGAGAGCTCAACATCACTGGATTTAAAGCCAGCCTCGGCTGGTGTCGTAGGATGATGCGGCGTAATGGACTGTCACTTAGACGGAGAACGAGTTTGGCCCAACGCCTGCCGTCAGACTTCGGAGAGAAGCTGCTTTCGTTTCAGCGCTTTGTTATCAACCTGAGGAAGAAGCACTCCTACCCGCTGGATCAGATCGGCAATGCTGATCAGACACCCGTTTATTTCGACATGCCAACATCGGTGACTGTCAATAGAAAGGGAGAAAAGTCTGTGTTGGTGAAATCAACGGGCAACGAGAAGAGCCGCGTCACTGTCATGTTGACATGTCTCGCTGGTGGCAGCAAACTCCCCCCGTATGTCATTCTTAAGCGTAAGACTGTGCCAAAGGACCCAATGCCAGCTGGCATTATTGTGCGCGCCCAGGAGAAGGGCTGGATGGAGTCGGGGCTTGTAGTGGACTGGCTAAAGGTTGTGTGGGGCGCACGCTACGGGGGACTGAGGAAGAGGAGGAACATGCTCGTTCTGGATGCGTTCCGCGGACATCTGACTGAGCCCGTGAAAAGTCAGGTGCGAGCAATGAACGGGGATCTTGTGATCATACCAGGGGGAATGACAAGCCAGCTACAGGTGTTGGACGTAGTTGTGAACAAGCCTTTCAAGGATAACCTGCGAAAAAAATACACAGAGTGGCTCCTGTCTGGCAACCACGCACTCACACCGACCGGGAAAATACAGAAGCCGTCAGTCCGTCTACTGTGTGAATGGATCCTGCATGCATGGGATGCTATTCCCTCACAGAGCATCATCGATGGCTTTAAAAAATGTTGCATCTCAAATGCATTGGACGGCAGCGAGGACGACGTGCTTTGGGAGGAGCCGGTGGAAGCGGAGCAGCTGGGGAGCGATGACAGCGAGAGCGAACACAGCGGGGCAGAGGACGTGTGTGAGGGATAGAGAGACATCGGAGGAGAAGTTTGGCGAATTTTTGTTAAGTTTAGTTAAATGTGTGGCCTGTATTTTCTCTGTTATTTAAAAATGTTGCTTTATTATTGCTTGATATTAATTTTGAATCATACTGTACATAGTTTGCCTTTGTGTTTAATTCACTGTGTTTTTAATATTGTTATTTTAAAATAAAATGAAGTTCTTTGTTCGGCAAATCTAGTCTGCAAATCTGTTTTTCTAAATGTTTGTGTTGAAAAACGGGGGGTCGTCTTATAATCAGGGTCGTCTTATATTCGGACCAATACGGTAGATGATCGTTCTAATAATGGACAAGATATCGGTAAAATGTGTTTGTTCTTCTGTTAGATACTGTGTGCCCGCTGTGTGTCTGGCCCCGAGCTCCACACACTGCTGCACATCTTACACCACGGTGCTCAATAAAAAATGAAATAGTACCTTTGCATTCATGATCATTTCTATGAGATTGTGACTGGATGAGAACCGTCACAGTCCCACTTGACAATAATTTGACAGAGGTAAGGGAAACGACGGGAAAATTCTGGGTCATTTGGTTAATCAAACAGCAGAGGGAGACAAATCTCCACAAAACAGAGCCCTGCAGCAATCGAGTGTAAAGGAGAAAGTGTGTTTCAGATCGTCCCCCTGCACCGGCTGTGATCTTAGTAGAACGACTCGCAAAAAACTAGAAAAACATACTACAAAAACTGTAGGAAGACCTATACAGTATAGGAACAGAGGGTTTGTAATGTCCTAGTTCAGTCAAAAGCCCCCGATTCTCTCTCAGCCTTTATTCCTGAATCCTCAATTACTGGCAAGCTGACTACCTCCTGACTATTATGTCTAGGGTCAAGACTAAAGGGGCACCTGTACTGTAATGTACTCAGGCATTCAATTGGGTTGCGCAGGGGGTGGAACCATCCATTCATTCATCCATCCACCCACCCATCCATCCATCCACCTACCCATCCATTGGTTCATCCGTCCGTCCATCTCTCCAGCCATCCACCTACCCATCCATCGATCCATTCATATGTCCGTCCGTCCATCCGTCCGTCCGTCCGTCCATCTCCCTATCTATCCTAGCTGACTGTGAGTTTACCCGTAAGCACGCCAGAGTTACGAAGACAATAGGATCATTGCCTGAAAGTCCAGTGAGTAATATTGTAATATTCCAGTTCATCCAGGTCAAAAGCCCCCCCCCTCTCTCTCTCTCTCTCTACTACTCTCTCTCTTCTCATCGATCTCTCTCGGCTCTCTTCTCTTCTTCTCTCTCTCTCTCTCTCTCCTCTCTCCTCTCTCTCTCTCTCTCTCTCTCTCTCTCTCTCTCTCTCTCTCTCTCTCTCTCTCTCTCTCTCACTGCCCGTCCTCCCCCTGTATCTCCCCTATGCTTTGCCAACATCTATTCCTCACCTCATAATAAAGGAGAACTCCCCCCGGGCATGTTGTAATAGCCACTTTGATCTGCCACTCCAAAGGGCATGGTGAGTGATAGCTGTTATACACCACTTCTCTACAGTGCCTGTATTAGGGCCAGGCCAGTGAGCAGCAGTGACAGCAACAGCATTATATGAGTCCAAAATGTCACCTTATTCCTTACTACTTTTAACCAAGGCCCATAGGGCTCTGGTCAAAAGTGGTGTACTATATAGGAGTTAGGGTGCCATTTTGGACACAGACATAAACTGTACTGGACATAGCCTATCTGGTCTGATTTAAGGGCCCAACATCACAGTGTGACAGTGACACACAAGTTTATTAGGGAGGTCTTGAAACTTTATATCAGTTTCGGAATGAAAATGTGGCTGGGGAGGTATGCAAAAAAATAAAGAAAAGCTAGCCGCTAGGCTATACTGCATGTAACCTATGGAACTAGCCACAGTACACACTGTTAGAAACCGGTGTAGTGATAATACTGCCTTTTTCTTTATTCTTTACGTTTGCCCCTTGTAAAAAAAATTATGCTAATGACAACATGATGATTGTTTATGATGATGATGGTGAAAATCATGATCATGATGATTATGAGGATAATGATCTGAATGATGATGATGGTGAGGATGATGATTGTTATTATTTTTGTTATTCTGAATGTGACGAAGATGAAGATTATGATTATCATGATGATGATAACGATCATGATGATGTTGAAATCTACTAAATAAACGTGAAGCTCGAACAAATTTGGCCTAATTACGTACTCCTATTCTCCTGTGGCCGCTTCTCAAATCCAAATTGGCCATGGGACTGGGGCGGCGATCAGCTGCGCAGCGCACTAACTTTGTCCCTTCATTATTTGAGCTCCATATCGTTACTGCCCAGTCGCGCTACATTTAGAGCTAGAGAAAGAGGGAGAGAATTCAGACTTTTATTGTGACTCGGTAGTAGGCCATTGCACAACGGAATATTTGGTTGTTGTATGCGAATTGCTAGTTTATTGATTTGAAACATCATATTTGACTGCGAGTTTTGATTGCGGTTTGAAATATCGGGGACGGTCGCGGCCGGTGGATTCAGGGTTGAGGAATCAGTGGGATATGTGGATCTGCACATGAGCGCGACGCATTCTTCCGAAAGAAGGTAACATTTGATATCTTTGCCATCATACTGTCATTCTGTCCAAATGTCTGTGAAATATTTGGTGCCTGTGAATGGTCTCCCAAGTACAAGTTGATTATTTCAGGCTGAATATTGTTGTTCAGGCATTTTATGTTTACAGAACACCGTTTAAATTTAGAAATGCGCCGCGTGTCATCTTTTTGACATTATCTGTCGCTGTTGTCAATATCGTTATTATTTCTAATAAGTTTTATAGACAAGTGAATAGCCTACTGCCTTATACATATCTGGACTGTACCATTAGAGCTACCTCTACCCTGCGGGAGCATCCTTCACTGTCTAGAATGAACGTTCTGACAAGTAGAATGAATTTTCTAGAAATCAATAATAGGCCAATGCTATTACCTGCCGAGAGAAGTGCTAATCCTATGATTCCATCCTTGCAGCGGTTGTGCTGTTACATGTGTCAGTTATCCATCAGCTTTTCAGTACATCGTTAGAATCACATTCATGCAATATTGAACCCTGATACCCTAAGAAACTACCTACCTAGTGTCATTCATAGTAGTTCACAGATGCACATATGCCTAATGTATATCTCTATTTTCTATAGGCTATAAATTCAATCTCAATCTGATTCCTTATATTTAGGCTAATTTATACAATATGACTTTATCATCTGTGACAGCTGATAGACTACTCTTGTATTTTCACACCTGTTTTTGCAACATCACTGTATTGTGTAGGTATTAGACTGGCCATAATAATAGCAGTGCACCTTCTGGGTTTTTGCCTTTCTCTGCCCTGTCTTGACACTGACTGAAACCTCCCTATCCTAGGCTGCACCTCACCAACACATAACAGCACGTTTATCCGCTGAGCTAAGATGAAACCACTCCTGTTCCTGTTCTGGAAGACCGGGATAGCTCTCTCTCTGCTCTCCTCGACTGCACAGGTACTGTACCATTGACATGGTGGCATTTAAATAAACGTTTCATTCAATTTGATATGGCACAGTGTTTCCGAAATGGTGGGTAGGGCCCGCTAATGGGACGATGAGGCCACCCACGGTGGAGTCGTAAACTTAATGTAAAGTGTGATCAAACTTTCACTTATGTAATATTTTATTTGAAGGTTGCTTGTTCAACCCTGAAGAAGACCCTGGGTCCCAGGACGTTGGTTCTGTTATAAATGATTGGGAGTGATCAAGGGTGTATCTCAGTTGTATTTCCTTAATTCCTTGAGTCTGATGTCCTCATCTCCTTCTCAAAGCGCATTGGAGGAGAAGGTCTGAGGGGAGGAACCTCCACACTGAGCACAGATGTCAGTTCTGATTTACATTTGGTTGAGTTGTCAACTAACGTGAAAATTCACTGTCATTTGATTTAGGTTAAAAGTTCAGTGAAAAAAAGATGAAATTCCCTTACATTGATGACTTTTTGCAAATCCAATGAGTTTTCCACATTGATTCAACATAATCACATTGAATTTATGGGTTGAAATGATGTGGACACAACGTTGATTCAACCAGTTTTTGCCCAGTGGGTCAGATCTTCTCCTCCAATGCATTTTGAGGAGGCTAGGAGAGAGGATGTGAGGAATCAAGCAAAGACCAGATTCACCCGTAGAGTGTCTCACTTTCTTAGTTTTTTCAAATGGATGGTCAGTATATGGTCTGCACCTTGTCAACTATGTGGGGGTGTGCCTCTCTTCAAATGGCACCCTATTCCCTATATAGTTTACACTACTAAGTAGTGCACTATATATGGAATACGGTGCCGTTTGGGACGCACACATGGTCACATCTCAAAGCTCTTGTTCTCTGGGTATTTTAGCCTATACAGGTGTGTAGTACACAGCTATGGGACAGTTGGAGGATGTTCATCTGCCTGGCTATGTGTCTATTTGGAGCCAGCTGAATTGAATGTCACCTCTCTTTACGAGGATCAACCCTCTAAAGCCCTAAGGTTGATAAATATAGCAGTTATAGTAGTGGTGTCTAATACACACACACATATACATGCATACACACACACACACACACACACACACACACACACACACACACACACACACACACACACACACACACACACACACACACACACACACACACACAACACACACACATACACATACACACATTGCAACCCCCAGGTAATCCTTGACAATAGGCTGCTGGGGGCCAGGTGATAACAGAGATCTGTTGGGATCAGCCACTGAGTGGTGAGGCTTTTTTTTAGGATAAGGGGTGCATCCCAAATGGGGCTCTGGTCAAAAGTAGTGCACTTTATAAAATAGGGTGCCATTTGGCACGTAGCCAAGGCTTGCTAGTTAACATGTAGTAGGCTAGTGTGTGAATACAGATAGAGCACACTGAAACCTAAATCTGCCAGTCGACTCTGACGTTGGACATGCTGCTTTAGGCTTATACAGGAGACCAAAATAGAGTTAGAAGTCTGTTTTATCATTCGTTTGTGTAACATGGTGGTATTTGTATTTACCTGTTGTCTGTATGGAGTAAAGGGAATTACCCATGGTTAGAATAACTTTGTCTCCTCTCCTCTCCTCTCCTCTCCTCTCCTCTCCTCTCCTCTCCTCTCCTCTCCTCTCCTCTCCTCTCCTCTCCTCTCCTCTCCTCTCCTCTCCTCTCCTCTCCTCTCCTCTCCTCTCCTCTCCTCTCCAGTGTTGATTCAGTTTTCCCAATAGCACAATGTAGCACTTGTAATTTTCTGGTTTCTTAAAGACTTGTCTGTCTTATAGGTCCTGCATTTGATTGATGTCTGTGTGTGAGTGTAACACGTGGGGCTGTTGCAGGGGTAGTAAGTTAGAACAATGAAAGCCACCAGTGTCGTGAGGACATGTGTGTCTGCTAAGGCTCTTTCCTAGTTCCCAGCCCTCTCATTCATCTGCTCATATAATTAGACCCTCAATCTGGTGCCTAACCTCTTAGTGACCACGGCCCTGACACACACACACACACACACACACACACACACACACACACACACACACACACACACACACACACACACACACACACACACACACATGCACGCACACACGCACACACACACTCACACAGACGCACGCACACACACACACACACACACACACACACACACACACACACACACACACACACACACACACACACACACACACACACAGATGCAATAGACAACAAGAAATCCACAGAGGCCGACCAATTGGATCCTGGTCTGCTTAAGTGTGCAGCGGCCATCATTGTTGGCTCAATAACCCACATTTTTAATTTAACATTGTTATCAGGTAATATTCCAAAAGTATGGAAATTAGCTCTTGTGCTGCCACTCCATAAGGGCGGGCATATTTCAAAGCTTCCTTGTCTAGCTAAGATTCTTGAATCCTTGGTAAATGTACAACTTTGCTCTTTTTTTATCTGAGAAATGTATTTTGAATGTAAACCAATCAGGGTTTAGGCCTGGGCATAGCACTATTACAGCAACCACTTTAGCTGTTAATGATCTT